AGAGCTCCTCCACCTCAAGTTGCTCGACTGCCACTGCGGAACAATGCGATAACACCGAGGTGAGTATGCGTGCTGGAGATGTGACTGATTTAATGGTGGCAGATCGTATGATACTGAGAGCCCTCAACGTTACATGTACGCCCAGACAGTGATACCCCCGCTCTCGGCGAGGTCACGGGCTCGGAAGGTGCTGACCATTGGTCGAGCATGGTGATCATGAAGACTTCTTTCAGCCGACTTATGATGTGCCCACTGCAGTCCAATCGGCTAGGGTCTCGAAGGCCCCACCATACTGCCCTCCCTCGGTAGTCGACAGGTGAGCACCTGTTCTCTCCCGATAGTCGGAAGTATTCGCTCAGGCTGTACCAGAGGGCAGCAGTTGCGCCTTCTAGTGGAGGAGTCGGGAAGTCCGGCGTGAATGTCGCTCGGGGCGCTGCTGATGCTGTGGGTCTTGGTCCCTCGTTGGGCTCATATTTGGTGATCCTAGGTCACCCATAGGACAGCTACTACTGGTTTCAACAGCGCTAGGAGTCCACTGGCAGCTCAGAAGCCTCAGCATCAGACCAACGGTCCACTGGTGGGTTTTGTATTGCATGGTGGTGGTCATTGCAGGGAGCAGGTCCCGAAGGCCCCTGCTACGGCTCGGCCCACGTACCACACGCGCCCGCCGAACAGTGGGGGAATGCGTTCAAAGAGGTAGTAGGAGTTTATGATAGGTGAATCCGATTCGCGGTGGATGCCAGGTTGGTCCAGGGAGGTGGCCCGAGTGGAGCAGCTCATCGACCTCAGCCTCCACTGTTTTCCTCCCGTACGGCTCGCACGGCAGCTAGCCCTAGGGTCGGTGGAGAGAGCATGGTTTATGTGTCGCTGCACATGTCTGTAAAGGTGTCCGGTCGGCGATCCTCTCATAGCGGCAACCCGCCCTCTACAACTTCCAGTTTCATCTCGAGTACAATGCCGTGTGCTCAGCCACCTATTATTACAGTCACTACGACTAAGGATCCTCGGTAGGGTTGTTGTTCAGTGAAGGGCAAATGATGATGCTCCATAGGGCTGTACTACATGATACGTACAGAGTGTGGCGGCGCTGGGCATTCAGTCGACTCGGACGCAACCGTTCAACATCAGCTGCAATAGGAGTGGCCTCCAGTAGGGGTTCGTGGGGCCTTCAGCATGACTTGATCTGAGCTGGCAGGTTTGATTTGGAGATCACTCAGCTCGACGAGGTCCAGCCGGTGTACATCGTGAGGTTCAGAAAGACCGTTGGTGGGTGGTCACGGCTCCTTTGTGATGGTGATGTTGGTTCAGGTGATCATAATCAATTTCGTGAGGTCACTAGACGGCTGATTCAAATGCTCAAGTTGTGACAGACTCGTATCGATCGTCGTCACAGTATGAACGACTGCCCAGATTCTTGCAATTATCATTCATTGTTGTTGTCGACATTCTCTGGTACGGTTGACATTCATAAGTGAAGCATTTGAAGGGCATGCATGATTCCATTCCGTCCATCAGCACTATCGTCATCATTTTGGTACATAAATTAGTCTACTGTGCATGGGGACATGAGTAGCACTGCCCGCTTGTGTTGAGTTGTCGTCGAGGGATGGTATGGCTTAAGCTGTTCCTGCCAAGAACTTCTTGGGGTGGTCGTATAAGTCTTCCACCGGCCAGCCTTATAACGGAAAAGATCAGTACAATTGGTGGCGAATAGGAGGTCGCGGTGATGAGAATTACGAGTATCATCGCTATCTTCGGGCTCCCGCAGGGGTTTTCATGTCAGAGCCTAGGGGCGTGATGACCGGGCGTCGAATAGGGACTTTGCCGGGCTTTGATGAGCCTAGTGTCCGAGGTTACTTCTGCGTTTCACGGATGGGGGACTTCAGATGTGCTCTCACTCCAGCATCAGTGTTCATCACTCTGAATCAAATGCTCGATGAAGGGGAAGTTGAGCAAGAAAAGGGTGCAGCTCGCGATTAAGCTCGTTGCTGGTGCTGGTTGCTCATCGGCGAGTAACTTCAGAGAGCCCAGTCGTGCGTTTCCAGGCTTGTTACACTGCGCAGGAATAATGGACCGCCTGATACAAGTACGGTCAACACTCGAGACCCAGGCCGATTTTGTGGCGATATATTTGTCGGGGCAGAGAGAACAGTAGGAGGTTTTCCCTTATCTAGGCTGCGATTAATGCGACGGTGTCAGAACGTCACTAGAATCCCATATCAACGGCGCAGTATCGCAAGCGCCCTTCGGGAAGTCAATCCTGGTGAAATACGCGTTGATCTTGGTCCTCCAATAATACAAGTCCAAGTCCGCATTCACAGTGGCTGCCGATGGCAACCAACAGTTGAATTACGCTTGGTACGGAGTTTATCCAGACTTTCCGTCTGCGGACGCTATGTAGAGCGGATCGTGGGGATAAAATGATGCCCCTTTGAAACGCATGATGCTCTTCTGTGAAGTTAAGGGGTTGGGACAATTATCGTATTGTTCACGAAAAGTAGCAGCTCCTTGTTTCGATCAAGGGACCTTTGGGTTATGAGCCCAACACGCTATCCACTGCGCCAAGCTGCTATTTATATTTTGTCGTTATACATCTGAGTCGGCCCGACTACAACGTATATCGTCCATGGTCTGTGTTCATATTCTTCTGTTTCCTCGTCTGTGGTCAGTGAGTCGCATCCTGTGACTGATCCCGACTCGTAGGGATCGAGGATAGTGAAATCACACAAGTAGAGGTGACACAACAATACACAATAACACAGAATAATATGCGATAATATCATCTAGCTTGCTAGGCTAGTAGGTTTCAAGCACCAACAGCTGTAACAGAATCATCAATGACTCGATGAAGTCATCAAACCCTCCCTCCCCTTGCCCAGAGGTAGAGTGTAGGTCTAATCCTTGACTGTCATATTATAGCATGGCAGTCAAGGTTTAGGGAGCAGTGTGTGATGATTCCACGCTGCTCTCTTGATTTACAAATAGACCAGCACTCTAGCAGATCGAGGATGTTCACAGCAGGCGGCTATGAGCTAACCTATCCAGATCTCGGTTAGAGTCTATGCTCTCACCAGTCACGGATCTGGAGTTAGCGCTCGCCCGGGTTCCAGTTTAACGGTTATAACCTGCCCGGGCTACGGTTTCATAGAAACCACAAGTTTTTATAGCCATTCCTGCCCGTGTCATCCTCGTCAGCCTGTCCCACTCCTCTGTGCATGGGATTTCACCGAGCTACATATATCATGACGTTCATCATGAACGGTTCATGGAACGTGACAGTGTCCCCTCTACAACAATCTCGCTCGCCCATCCAATCTTCACGTCTACGTATGGTCACGTATCGAGATCTCAATAATAATCTGTCGTTGATCACTCGGCCAGAATTGAAGCCTCGCTGGCGTTGATTATAGTGGCAGGTATGCTTTCCTCCGCTGCAGAGAGAATAGACTGCTTGTTCGAGGGTTCTCGTAATGGGGGGACTACATTCCTTAAATAGGGTCAAAGTGCCGTTTGATGATCAACCTGCTCTTTGTTCAGATCGCCGCGATCTGATCGCGTCCAGCAGTCCTTGTGATTCAGCTTATTTGTTACCCATGCACAATGTCATTCCTGCCATCATAGCCAAAGACACCTCAGGGAAAAGACCCTCTGTCAAGACGAGCATTATGACCATCCTTTGTTGACTTCCTGGACTCGTGAATCTTGCGCTCGTGGACTTTATAATTTTCTGACTCCCTTGCCTATCCTGCTCTCGATCCTGCACGGTCTCGTGTTTCCCGGGATTGCATGCTCGCACCAGAAGCGGAGGGCGGAGAACAGCTCGCTGCAGTTAGTTGAGTAATGGACCACTGAGAGATCTTGCGACGAAGGTGAGCTCCTCATTCGCTGTAAGTCTTTTTTGGAGAACATGGGACTTTCGGACTTCTATCAAGAGTGTGATCAGTTGTTGAAAGTCCCTGTCCGGATGATGCCAGGTTCATTGCGACCGACCACAGCATCAGAAAAAGCCACACAAGTAGCATGGCCGTAGGTGCCTCGTCGGCGCCGGGTGTCGCTCGGGGCTTCACAGGGGCATCAGACAAGAGGATTAGCGCCTGCAATATGAATTTGTCAGTCTTCATGGAGCGCGTTTCAGTAGCGTACGCTGAGCTCATCCTTTTGTTCTGTCCTCTCCCCGTGTTCGTCATGATACTCACTCGGATGACGGTAATTGCATTATCACGCTTTCTGCATTGTTGGAACGTTGGTGTTTCTCCTGGGATGAAGTCCATCGCTGCTACAGTGTTCTCACTGCCATGGCGCAGTCCCGGGGACCATGTCCAGACCGTCTGGTGCGGACTGCCGCTGATGCTGATTGGAAATACTTACTACTATCTGCTATGTGTCTTCTCTCACTTATCGTCACTACTGTGCTAGAGGCTTCCCAGATCAGCCCGCATGACTTGCAGAGGAATATACTGCACTTAGATTCGCAGTCTGTGCGCCAGGAGAGTCCAAACGGTATGGGAGTGTCCGTTGATCCGACTCCGCTTTTCCGAGTACCTCGTTGGGGCGCCGCCCTTGTGGACGAGCAGAATGGCAGACCTGCTACAGTGGACTTCCTTTTTCCGGAGGTTTCAGTGAGGGAAAAGGATCTGTGGTCGCGAATACAATGCACTGGTCATAAGGTGAATAGAAGTTGTCTAGTTGAAAATATGTATTACTTTACCTCTGAAGAGCAATTTGTTATTCTCTTGCCATCGAGGACGAGGCTGACCGGGCGAATAAGGTCAGCAGCGTACAAGCAGAAACCTGTGAGTATTGATGTTGGCAACGAGCAGCTGGTGGCCGGCCCACTCGATGGTGTCAGGGGTGATATCAGTGGCATCAGACTGCTCATGTCGAACTGCTCAGACTACTTTAAAGGATCAACATTCACGCCTACAGTGCTTTATTTCCCCACTGCAGTAGAAGCTGAAGATTGGCTACGGAATTCATGGTCTTCAAGGCCGCTCACTATCATGGCTGGTGTAACAGCTTACGGCTACTCATTATACCCTCACAATCACGGCCATCTCCTTTATGACGGTCTGTACCCCTTATATGTATCCCTCATCCGATTTGGTTATGGTACCACACCATTCAATATTGTCCTAAGATTAGATGATGGGCCGGGTGGACAGCGTTACTTGATTGACGAGCTTGCCCCCATTTTCGGTGGAGGTCAGTATAGCAGGCTCAACGAGCTCAGAAGCTCCGTTTACCGATTTGAGAAGCTCGTCATAGGGTCGAGACGGATGGCCCATAGGAGCTTCAAGACTGATGCCACTTTACCCGGCTCCTACACCTTTGAAAATGCCCTTTATCTTTTTTCGGCTCGGCTGCTGAGACAATACAAATTGGCCACTCCGCATCTCTCTGACCGACTCGAACGCGCGAAAGAATGTCGTGGGGTTATCATTGATAATAAAAGGTTTACTGAAGGCGATCGAGTGATGTTCGAGAGGATTGCGTTGAACTCGCCAAAAACGTTGAACTGCACCATATCGTTCATACGGTGGGAGCAGTACTCCTTTCGTGAGCAGCTGAAGGTATTCTCCCAGTCTGACATTTATGTTAGCAGTGTTGGCACTGGCATGACCAGGGCGCATCTACTTCGACCAGGTGGCGTTGTTATCAATCTCGGTGAGTTCATGAAAATGGGCGACCCTGAACGGCTGCTGAGCGTCTATCAGGATGTCCAATTTTCCGTTGGGGCCGCCTATCTGAACGTTCTCTATTACCCCCGCAAGCTGTGGAATGTATTTGGCCGTCTTCGCGAAGAGCCTGTTATTTCTCTGTTGCACAAAGCTGTTGCGAAAGTGTACGGAGGGTCGCTGTTGCCTCGGTCGATCGAGGATGGATACGGACCGTCGTCGCAGCCTATGGTAGATTACTGTAGGAGACGCCCCGACTTGTGCTCTGAAGTTGACGGCCAGTTGAACACTGGTGACAACGAGGAGTATAATGAGTGGTGCGACTGGTGTTCATGGCCAGATTATTTCGGCTTGGTGCCAATGTGGCGTCGTGGGGAAGGATGCATCTACAGAGGTAAAAGAGTGAAATGCCACCTTGATCATGATACTTTCGATGAGGTAGCCAACGAGGACCATATGGCCTTCGATGCGGTATGTCATAGGGCGAGTCAGTCCAAAATTGACGTACTGGCCAATAAAATTCTGCTGCAGCGAGCTGCGCAGCTCGGTGTTCCAGTGGGCGAGTTGGATGCGGGTGTAGCAACGGAAGCTTTACTTTCTATTCACCCGCCCGACTGCTCCCCTCGATGGCCCTCAGCAGGGTCGTTCTGCGATTGTTTTGATATTAGACGATAACGTAGTATTTTTGTTACCATTATCTTGCAACATCCATCTTGCGCACGGCAAGCACGTCATGCATCAATTCTAATATGGTCAGCGTAGCTCAACTGTACATTTGGTTCGCTGTATTGAGCGTTTTAGCTCCCAGTCCCGACCACACCCTCTGTTGCGTTGATCTAGTTCTGATGGTCTTCAAGTGCACTACACCTCCTCGCTTTTTTAGGCATTATGAGTTCGATTGGTATTAGTCGACTGTCAAAAACTTAGTGCTAGTCCTAAATTTCCTTTGCAGGGCACAAATGGATCTTGACGGTCACGAAAATCTCACAGAGGAGTCCCCAGAAAAAGGACCGCGGGTAAGAACGGAGAGAGAAACCCGAAACCAGACAGGACAACCCAAAACTCGAACTGTTATCCAAGCGAAGGCTGTTATGTCGAAGGACTGCTGTTGATGGCTTACTGTGATCATTTCACTCCCGCAAGTCATCATAATCAACTCGTCGATGATGTTGATGAACTGCTCGACGAGATTGGCGACAAGTTCGGCATTATTTTTCCCCCCGAAAAGTCAGCGGACATTGGAACGGTTCGCGACAAACACCTTGATCTCAGTTGTTATCCAAGGCCGAACTGATCTCACCGAAACCAGAAACCCGAATTGTCATCCAGCGTGAAATGTGGCCCGAAGAGACAGAAAGCGGCCGGGAAAGAACGTTTGTGGCTTGCGCAAGGATGATAGGCACCTAGAGAACATTTAAACCAAAAGTCAGTTTACCTCAAAAGCTCGTGGAAAGTTCGCAGACTCCTGAGGGTGTGTTCCATTTCTACTACTGACGAGATGCTCATTGATACAAATCTAATAAGGAAGCCACTTATAGCTGTCAACAGCAGTGAAAAGATTCATATCTGCGGTTCGAAGTCATAACTCTCTCACACACCTTATCCGAAGGGTTGTATTATGCGCTGCGTACTTAGCTGCTATCAAGGTTCGGGTTGGTCGTTCGTGACGAAGCTAGCTCCACTTCAAACCCAACATGATGCCACATGATGACGAACAGGGAGCACAAGTCAAATAAAAAATGCCTATACAATATAAATACCGGATTAAAAAGGAGTACCAGCTGCCGGAAATCGTCACTAAAAATCATCACTGGGGCAGTTTTCCTTCTCTGGCGGCCCACTGCACCAGCTGCCGACGGAAACCGCGATTAGATAGGAGGAACTCGCGACGATCATGAACATAGGATGCTGCTTGCAGAATGTCGACGTTCATGTCCAGAGCTACCAAAGCAATGGCGCAGAACCTGAAAGTGAACGCTTTCGTGAGGACGCTCAGCTGTGGGGATTCACCCGCTCCTGTTGATTCCCATCACACAGTGTACAAGTGCCGCTCCGCCGCTGCGTTTGGCGTCATAATAATGCTTTTTGCACTTGTCGAAGGCAGAAATGATATCGTAGTTGTCGGTGTCCTCGCAAGGGATGCCCAAATAGGCGAAGTCGGAGCCGTAATACTTCTGGTCAGTGGTGATGTAGCTGCTGGCCATGTTGATGATGTGAGTGATACCAAGAGTTCTCAGACGAGTGGTATTACGAGCTTGCATCTCGTTACCTGAGGCCGATCGATCGGTTGTTTTCACACGTCGACCGAGGTGCTTACCAAGATAAAGGGTGGGGAGTAGTCGAGTCGGCCCGCCATACGCCGGACCAGTGACCTTCTCGTTAACATTGTCGAGAATTCTGTTCAGTTTCTCGATGATTTCGTCGGCTCCATCGTGCGTAGAAAACGCCTTCGTTGCGGACTGATATGTAGCAATAGAGGACGTCATAGATTTTATAAAAACTAATACTGTGAATTAACTCATTTGCATCTAAGCACTTTCCCACTGTTGTTCCATTTTATGGAAAGAAAGTCACTTCGCTCCGCTCATTGAGCTTGCGTACGAACGTAGCTCAGTCTTCATAAGAAGCTTAACGGCTTTCATCACTTCGGCACCTTGTTGAGTGCTTAGTCAACTATGACTTTCCTCTAAGAAGGAACACTGTGAAGGTATCAATCTTGAAAACTTGGACTCTCGCATTTTCTCAAGGTTGATGAGATTCGTTATTGAACAAAAATCTCTACTATATACTAATAGGAGTAAACAAATCGTGCGTCAAAAAGTTGACTCCGTTCTTGATTTGTCATATCCGCGTCTGACTTTCTCTGGATACCTTACATGCCACTGAGACTATCCAGTACTACATTTGTCGTGCGATGAAGCTCCCTATGATTCACAGTATCTCTTGCATAGCGTGATCGATCAAAACGATTTAGATGTGTTAAACCGTCACAAAAATTTGCTCCGAGTAATTAATTCACAATCGTTTCCGTGCCTGCTTTCGGTTCCTTCCAAATTGTGTCTCACTGTCAACACCCCTACATATATCATGTTCGCCGTATACTTGGTACACTTCCACTCTATCAAGAACTGCCTTTTCCGTATCACTTACTGTGGCCGTATTTGTAAGATCGACCCTAATAGATATGCGCCGATGTACATTGTGTTAAAACGTTACAGGAATTTATTCACAACAAGAATAATGCCTTTTGTCTATCTGATCAGCTTTACACCCTTAATACCTACTAAACACTTATTAATCTTTTACCATACGATAGCTTTGTGTCATACGCTTTTTTCTCACTAGCACGTTCAGTTTTCATGGAGATTTCTACCACATTGAACATGCGCCGATGTACACTGTGCCAAAAATTCACGACATTCACTGTCCACAGTCTGTGGTGTGAAGTATAATTTCTATATTTTATGTCACGTCACCCTCTCTCAAAACTCCACCGCCTCTCTCCCACTGCCAACAGATGTGTTGGTAGGGTTTATACATGTCAAGCTTTGACCGCTTCTAACTATGCAATTCACTGAGGTTTCCATACGGAGTACTTCGCGCCTGCAATACTTTATGTTTCGTCGTTTTACTGCTGTAGCACTTACATCTACATATGTTATCCTTCTTTACTTGATAACACCTGTATTGTAGGCATTACGAACGACTTGGTCGTCCTACAATCTACGTTCATCCGTTGGTATTCATGACGTAGTGTTCAACTTTCACCCTCAAGAGTTTAATACTGATCGTGATACTGCTGAGATACTTGCATCTACACATGCCACTCTTTTCTACATAATAACGCTCCTTTTTGACATCACCAACTGCATCATCACCCTACCATTCGATACTAACGACGTGGTGACGAACGTCCAACGACTCTGTTGTACCTCCAGATCATCAGCCGATCCGTTTGTGAGGGTTCACTCATTCTTATCACCGACTCTTACTGATGTCGATCATGTGCCGCTTCCAGTCATGCACCATTCTTAGGTATCCGCAAAAACTACTCTTCACTCCCGAGACATTGCCGCTAATCGTGCTACAGCCGATGTAATTTATGATCATTTGCTACATAGTGATGCATCTGATTTGGATGATACAACCCACACTGTCACCCAACGATCCTCATTCCGAGTGTGTCATTCGCGGAATCGATATAATCAAACCTCCCATATGCGTGGGTTACAAGTGGCAGTCAACACTTGACAACACAAGACCAATTGGTAATAGAAGAGAGGGTAGTAAAATCCATCGAATTATTCGATTCGAATAATACGTCTGTTTCACCCCTAAGCCGATACTGTTCACTTGCAACCGTTAGTGCGATTGACGATTTTTCTACCTCAATGAAGATATTTAACCTCACTCTCTTGGTCGTATGATTGTGAAATGTTCATCATGTGATTCGGTACTCTCTCGTGAAGTCGCAGTCCATATCTGTGTCTCGGCTACCTGCTAAGCTAGCCGCAGGTAGCCGGCTAAGGTGGCTAAGCTACCGGCTAAGGTCCATTACCTGCTGGACCTTATGGCTTTGGGATACAAGGGATGTTTCAAAGACGATTAGCACCCCAGTAGGAGTATAGCAATTTCAATACCTTCCAGGAATTCTTACAAACCTGTTTCCATTGCTCGCTTCTTATGTCACACACACGCAATATACTCTCCAGTCAACGTGTGCTCTACAGCGAATGCTCGCTGCAGTATGAAAGTCCTATTTAAGTAGTCCCTTATCGTTTTACGAAATTCTTTGTAATAGACTACTTGCTGCCACTATATCTCTCGCATCAGATCCTAACTCCCGATCTTCAGGAGAACACACACAACGTTATAATTTTCCCGCATCGTTAGGAGGCTATTTCACAAGCCCTCATAAGGAGCAAAAATTGTGAGGTAGCTTACGGTTTCGTTGCAAGGCACTTTTACATTCTCACGATTTGCGGGGTAGGAGTGAGGTAAGGTGTCACTAGGCTCCTCACCGTAAGGCTCCTTAGTAGGGAGTCCTTACCCTACAAGGAGCAGGGAGAGTCTCCCCACGTAAAGCGATTCCATAGGAGATATTTCAAGCCCCCTCCTTGGCGCCGTGAAACTGCTCCGGTGGTACATTATGGCACTTTATCGCACCGGCCTTACCATTCTCGGTTGTTCGCTTCGCTCTTTACCGCCAGACCACGCGTGTCGCGGCGAGACACTCGTACGCGGATGTTCTGTCCCTGCTCAAGCAATTAGACTTGCAATTGCATATTCGACTTGGCGCTTTAGCGTTTTACGGTGATGACCGATTATTCTCGAGCGAGTTGATGGTGGTAGTGTTTTTGAGTTTGCTGTACTCAATGGCCATTACCTTATTTTTGAGCTTCATCGGAGCACTGCGTCGACGTTTTCATACGCGCCGGTATACTCTATACTCTTAAGCTGAAGATGCACCTCGCGGACCTCAGTACGGAGCACGAGGTGCAACTATAGTGAAAGCACTTCGCGTAAGGTGTAAGTCTCCTTGTCCCTTGCTCCTAAATTAAAGGTGCACCTTAAGGAGCGTTTCTTGTGATATAGGCCTTAGGGTTCCACTTACTGTCTGCTTCTACTCTGAGCAAAAACGAGCTTGAGAGTTCTGGAGCGAAGCGACGGGTTCTCTAACTTGGAGACTCTAAGTCAGATAAGTTTAAAGACTAACCTCAACATGGATATACAGTAGAACCTGCATGAGGGAATGATTCGCTATCTTGATCTGCAATTCATGGAGACCCATCAGGTTTATGAAGTTCGTATCCGGAGTTCGACTTGCTACTACCCGATTAAGTACTTAAGTCCATCATCGTTTGCCCGACTCGCTTCAATCTATTCAATGCAGTGTACTATCAAGCTGAGTTTTCGACGACTCTGTTGTATCGTGTGTTCATATGACTGGACAGAGCTCAGTATAGCATACAGTCGCATGTGAATCACCATGTGCTAGCTACTATCTCATATCATCCACACTAACATGATGTTAGTAACATCTAATGATTAGATTGTGCTCCAGAGCGGGCCGCCCTGAGCGGCTCTGTGTTGTGTCCTTGCTATCATACGATCCGCTAACAGAATCGTGTTCTCAAGTTACTCCGAGAGTGTTAGCTTGAGGATGAATAAGGAGCGTGGCATAGTACGGTGATTGTTGCGTAAGAAACTGGCACGGTTGAAAGCGGTCAGAATGGGCGCTTGTCTGAATATCTATGGAACGGTTTAACCGTTATGGTTACGAGTATCACGTATTCCTCTTAATACGGTATCCGCTATGTGACTGGGTATCGATTGCTACAATTTCAGAGGGAACTGTCTTTGTTGGAAAAGAAATCGAAAATCTCGTGACTTGCTTGAAAAAGTGGCACGCTCCGTATAAGATTGATCTTTTCATCTCAACCTGAGACTTCCAAGGACGCATAGGTCTACGTTCTCGATTCAGTGCAACAAGGACATAATTTAACTGGTGTATCTTAACATATCGCTTACACCCCCGAGCGTCAGCGAGCTAGAGAACCCCGGAGCGAAGCGACGGGTTCTGCTAGTTTATTTTACAAGTGTATGTATAAAGACCGATCAATGGTCGTATCGGAAGGCCTGTCACCAGACAGGCAATGCCTGCCGGTTCATGGCTGGGCCCACGATACGCTGGAGATTCCCGAAGTTTATAACGCGTTGCGTCGTGAAGGACGCTATGCGATGCATGCGGAAAGCGGTGACGAGCAGAAGGAGCATGTAGATTTGACAGGTAGTAAGCGGAGGTAAATTACAAAATCCAAGGAGGTCTGTCGCTCGCTTTTAACAGTTCGGGTTTCTGGTTGCCTTGTCGGGTTTCGGGTGGGGTCTCGGGTTTAACCCTTCGGTTTCGTAACTTTAACTTGTCTTCCTTGCATTTTGTATATTACCCTAACAAGCGGGGTTGGAGCGGGGCAGTGTTGGAATATATGATCGGTTTCCTCAGCTGAGCTCAGGAATTTTCTCATCAATTTTACAAGTCTATACGGAATCGGGTAGAAGTTTGCAGAAAACAGGAATAATTTCCCGAAAATTTTCTCATTGTTACTAACACATGTAGTTGACCATGTGCATATTTCCCCGCACTGTTGGAGAGTATCTCAAGGTTCAACCTGGCAAGATGCAGAATAGGTCCAACTGAGTGCCTTTTTAGGTTGGCGTGGAAGGCCGCGTTCCGAGTCACGACGAACAGCTTCAACAGATGTCGCCTCCGACTCTGAGGCCTCTACCGGTTGTCCAAGTGTGATGGAGGGAAGGGGTAGTGCTTGCCTTTACATCTCTGGAAGATAATCTCGCCCTCCCGCAGGCTCCGGAAAGCACACAGCTCAGCGGCATCGGCTCGACGTCATCTTAGATCTCGATCGGACTATGGTGAACAGCTACGAGATCGGCAAGGCTGATCCATCGCAGTCTGAGAGTGTCACTCCCATTCTGCAAGAGGTCTATAAAGATGAGTAGTAAGGCTCTATCGGGTGGTGCTCACTGCCTTGTCTCAGGGAGGGTCTACCGGAGTTATATCTATGTGTAATTAGCGACGTCAAGGTGCTGACGAAAATACGTCCGCATGCAAGAGCGTTTATAAGGGAGCTGGTAAGGATGAATGGTTTAAACTAATATTACTATTTATCCTATGTTAAATGGAGTTTCACCTCTGATACGAAAACACTAGTGAAAAACATATTTCACGACTACTGCATATCACCGCGAATATCGCGTTTTTCATCGAGTTTTACGTCACTTCGCGTAGAACGGATGAAACTCCAATGTGTATCAATATGATTGGCAATAACAATAGTTCTTACGATGGAGTTTCACCCGTTTTACGTGAAGTGGTGTTATACTCCATGTGAAAAAGACGATATTCGCGATATGAACTCAATTGAAAAAACACTTTGCGAACTACGCTGGACGAATCACTCCATATCACCTATTCGCCATGTTATTCACTGCTCACATGCGTTTTTCGCGAGCTGAAATGTGAAGTGTTTTTCATATCACGGGTGAAAGTCCTATAGTAACATATATGTAACCCTCGTAATACGCGCTTCTCATCAGCAGCGTTTCGTTCAGGTTTCCAAAACTGGCTGCGGGGTGGTATTATCGATATACACTAAGGGCAGTCGACGATATATGGAAGTTATCAAAAAAATGTTAGATCCCTCCGGAGAGCTCATCAAGGTTAGTAAGCGGCTATTCGTGGGTGAAGGATTGGAGTTCCTCAGGGCCGACTCGTGTCTAGGGAGGATGAGCCTTCTAATATGACGCCCTTGGAGAAAGATCCCGACTTTGTAGTTTTTTCTGCGACCAGTTGCCTCGGCTGAGCTGTTTTGATTAGATAATCAACGCGGACTCAGCAGTTGGTACGGAAGAGCTGCGGCGGCGGTGGTTTGTGGTGTTGGATGATAGTCCCGAGGTGTGGCCGGAAGAGTGCAGGGAGGCTGGGAATATCGTTGAAGCTACTATGTAAGGCAAGTGAATAAAGTGTTATCGTTTTAGTTTTAATTCGCCTCCTTTGATTGCAACTGGTAGGTATGATTTTGCCGAGGTTAACTACAGCGCTTTGCTAAAGGCGATATCTGTCGCTGGTACGTTGAGTTCGGCAAAACTGGCAGCGCTGCCGCGCGATAAGGACGATTTTCTACAATGGGTAATGGAGTGGTCAGATATATGTTCGCTTTTCTCACCCGAGCTCGGGAGTTCTCTCACTAGTTTTGAGAGCTTAGATACGAATTTGGGTAGAAATGTATTTTCAAAATTTCCCTGGGGTCGTGATGGGAGGGCGTGGTAAGGCCTCTTAACACGGCTCGTTGGTGTCTGCCATAGTTTATGACAACATTTGGTGTGGTATAAGTTTGGATTGAAAGTTGGTATGTGGATGCCGATAGAATTTCTACACCTACAATATTACTATCGCACCGTTAAACACTCCTCGTTCAAGCTCTCCGTGGTTTACCCGAAAGGCGAGGCATTCGAATTCGCCTGAAAAAGTTATCCCTAGGTCGTGTTGCTGAGGACTGGGAAAATGTGGAGGCTTGCCTTATTGACTCAGCGGGGTCCAATTCGTGTCGTGTGAAATTTCTGAGTGTTTTGATCGTGCCTTGTATGAGCTACTCCATCATTGTTTTAGGAAGCACCCGAGAGGATATGGGGCGTGCGCGATGGGCTTTGCCGAGAGTATGGGTACCTCCCCAGCTGGCGAGCATCTGATGCGTGCTCTACTGACGATTCGGAGCCACCGTCACCGAGTACGCGGTCTGAGGAAGGCGTCACGTAGTGGTTAGTTATCAGGCACGGCTGCATGTCGAACTAAGGGTAGTGTAGGTTGGTCAGCACGAAGGTCAGCGCGGCATTTCGAGTGAGTCTTTCGTAACTGTTGTGAGATTGAGGGTTCAATTGGTCGGTGTATTCAGAAGTGAGGAGGAGATGAAGAGTGCAGAGGATGGTAGTCGGAGGCGCATGCCACGTAGGAGAAGTGTAAGGGGAACGGTCGGAGAGTGGCTCCTTAGTAGTATTGTTTCGGATAGGTTACCCGCATAGATGGGCTGGTCGACTGTCACCGTGTCACCACTGGTGTCACTAGCACCAAGGTCGACGGGGGGCTGAAGACCACACCGCGTCATCGTGGGAGTCGTGGCACTATTTTCGGCCTCCCTCTGAGGTAGTGAAGTCTTTCAGTGGGCCGGTCGTAATTAGATAGAACGTTGGTTTTTGAGAATTCAATATCTCCATCGAGATCCTCCCTGAAATGAAACTGATTTCAGAGTCGAACTAAGCGATATTCATTCCGTATTAAGGCTCAAACGCCTTGCTGCGGCCATTCCTACTTGAGAAATTTTTTCACCCGTGTGTAGTCATATTATTAATACCTCTGAGGAATGTATTTGGCGCTCGGGACCACCAAATTTGCGAGTGAAAGAGTTATATTCGCAACTAGGGACATGAAGTAGGCGGTGGTGGTCGAATAGGGAAATTAATACTTTCCTTGTCATTAACTGTTAAATAGAACTGTGCGTGCGACGAACATATACAGTACGCGCTGATGGAGGTGGAACAAGCCGTATTGTTGTAGGTTCGTCATCTTCGCGATAGCATCACTCCTTATAATACTCAATGAGCTGGTCCATGGTCCCATGGCCGATCCGGTGTCGACTACGACAGTTTACCCGCTGGCTGAGGGGCTGACGGAGGCCCCGGCAGTGGGGACAGCTGAGGAGTTTGTTTATATGAATACCACTGAGGCTGCTGCATTGACCGAATCTGTATATGGGGCCTCCCACCTCCGACAGAGAATGACCACTGCTAGAGCACCGGAAGAGGTGCCATACTACCTTGTATAGAGCCTCGTGAGGAGCTGTATGTATTTTCTCAGTGTTGATATGATTTTCCGAATACGACTATGCTATGGTTCGTATGCAAGATTCACGTAAACTCTAACATTCCTCATAACCTTGTACGAAGCTATCATTGTCATTGCTATGTTCCTTCCTATGTTAATCGTGGAGTGGGGGGGAGGCTCCACTATGAGCAGCTAGCTGTTGTGGCGATCACCAGGTGGTGGACAACTGATCATTTTGTAGTGGCGTGGTAACGAGTTCTTTATCGAAATTGTCTCTGCAACGAAAAATGAGGAGATGTTGTCGCTGTGGTGGAGGCCTTTATTGTTGGGGCGGTGGTCTGCTGGTGATGACTACTTTCTTAAGAAAGATCAGTTGTCCGTGCTCTCCTGATAGCTGTGGTTAACGGCGTTGTGTTGAGTATGGAGAATAGTGGGTGGCGGGGATTGAACCCGGGTCGTTTGAATGAAGGCGATGACAATCTACCATTGTGGAATTTGTCGGACCATTCAATCCAGCTCTTGTTTTGAATGGCTGTGGAGGGTGTCCATAGTGACAGCGCCGCCGCATTAGGAAATGAAGCTGAGGAGGGCTACGTGAGTGATGCATCGGAGGGTCTTGTTCAGTCCATGGTCGAGGACAGCATGAGGCGGACTGAGAGAGCCGAGAGCAAACTGGAGGGTACTCAGTTTTGGACGGCTTGGCTTCGATCATTGCCTCCTTAGCTAGCGCTTCGCTGGAAGACCGGATAACACTGTTGGCGTCGCTGGTTGGGGAGAGGGGGGCTGCGGCGGCGGCGGCGATGAGGGGGGTAAGTGGGGGTTGGGGGGGGGCAGTATTGGAATTCATGTTCGCTTACCTCAACTGATTTTACGAGTTTACTTATTTATTATTAGGAGTTTACATACGAATTCGGATGAAATGAGAATTTACCGAAATTTTATCAGAGTTTCCTCTCGAATGTAGTTGACCATGTGCATATTTTCCCACACTGGGGTGGACTGTGGGCCTTAGGGTCGAACTAGAGCCGGCTCGACGTCATCGGCGGCGGCGGCAGGAGTCGTGGGTCCTGCACCTGTGAGGCTGTGCCATCTGCTCCGTGAACTGGAAGAGATAATGTTGTTCTCGTATTGGAATGAGGTGGAGATCTTCTTAGCGGAGCGATGCAAAAGATTTGGAATAGATTGAATCGTCGTCTTTGGTCCAACTCCGACAGTTGTGCTTGCACTTGTTGACCTCTACCATGGGCGAGAGGACGTTACGGAGGAGCTATGCAGTGGACACTCTCGCGGCGGCGGCACTGAAAGCCTCGTAGGTCCACTCATAGGCTCCTCGTGAGCCAGTGGAGTCAATGCTGCTTCCTATTTCGCTACTGATTTCCATGTGGTGGTGGGAGGTGCATGCTTAACGCTTCGGGCGTCAGCAGCGGCACTGTGTCGTTGTTCAGGTTTCGAAGAGATTCCCTGAGTGCAGGGGGCGCATTGGAGTTGGAGGCGGCTTGTGTATCACTTCTAGATGCTGCCCAGGCCCCTCAGAAAGAGGGCGAAGGGGCTATGGCGGTCCTAAGGCGAATGTCGGCGCTGAAAGCCGCAGTGGACTTGACCACAGGTAGAGCGCTGTTGCTTTTACTCTCAGCTTTGATGACCTCTTAGTGGGGCTGCCCATGACCAAGGCTGTTCGACGTGATATCATTGAAGTGATTCGTCGCCAATTTAACCGCTATGGTCGGCAGTCGGTGTGGGTCCACGTGGAGTGCCGGAAGAACGCCGCTCGTCAGCTGGAAAGGCTCCTAAGTGATTTGCCCCTTGCAGCTGCTAGGGTCGATCCGGCTGCAGGTAGTGGGTTCCTCAACGACCAACCGAGTGCAGTGGACGACGCCCGATACTGTATCGTCAACCACCTCCCGGAAAAGGAGACCAGTGTTGAGGTCAGCGGGGCCTTGGCAGTGTTGGAAGAATAAGTGGTCGCTTTCCTCAGCTGAGCTCGGGAGTTTCCTCACTAATTATAGGAGTTCATATACGGCTTAGTATAGAAATGTACAGATAGCAACAATAACTCCCCCAAAAATTCCCTCGAGTTGACCACGTGCATATTGGGCCTCGATTGTTGCACGAGGAATGCCTCAGGTTCGCACCGCCTTGTTCCGCTGTTTAGCGCTGCTCCCGCACGCCCTATCGGATGGCATACGATCGATGATTGTGAACACCCTTATTAAGGCGCCACTCTCAGTGGCTGACCTCGAGTCTAGTATTGCTTGTGCTGGCGTACTGTGCAAGAAGGTCAGTAGTTTGGATAGTCTGCGTAAAAAGTTGAAGTCGGGAGGCAACAGCAACAACGCGGCTGTGATGGTCGCTATGGCGCGCTGTGGGTTAGACGAGGGCAGCCCTATGAGGCCCCTGGAGGTCCTAAGGACACTTCTGGAGGTTCCTGGGGACCCGTCTATAGTGGGAATAGTGGACGGCATCGGTGGTGATGCTGAAGTCTTTGGGAAGTGCTGTTGTTCATTGGTATGGCGGGCAAGTGAACTGGGTCTAGCTGGGGAAGTCTTCGACTTTCTTATAGAGGACTTGCGCGACCAAGGGGTACACTGGGGAGTTTATTTTGACTATGCAGATCTTCTGGCTGTGTTCAGGCCCCTAGGACTACCTTCCAGAGGCTGATAACACTAAAGCTAGTGGAAGTGTGTGTTAGGGCAGGAGGGGTTCCGGGGGTCTACTTCGACCAGGACTGGGGTGAGGTGACTGAACTGCTCTTGGCGTATGCAGTTGATGAGGCTGGTGTCACTGGGGAGGCTGCTAGCAGGGCGCTGATGGCTGTAGGGCCGGTGGGAACTAGGGTTGGTAGGGGGACGGGGACCAGCTCAGGTGCTCGATGTGGTGCGCTGTGATCCGTCCTTTACGACAAGGGTAGTGGGCAGGCTTAGGGAAGGAGGAGGAGGAGATAGTGGCACTGAGTGGAGGAAGCGTTTTGGGTAGTATAGGATTTCATAGTGTGGGATTGATCGTATTGAAAGTACCAGGGTGGACGGATGTTGGGACTCCCTTCACTGGGTCAATGTTGGAAAGTATGCACATGGTCGACCACATGTGTTGGGGACAATTCTGAGAAAATTTGGGGAAATTATTGTGGGTTTCTGTACACTTCTACCCGGACTGGACTCAAACCGAGCTCAGCTGAAGAGAGCGAGCATATATTCCTCCAACAGTGCAATGGGTTGACCTAGTCTTCGTCATTTCGGCCAGGTTATGTCAACTAGTGGGCGCTCTGGTCTCGTCGGCCCCTTTAAGTGTAGTGGAGACGGTGTTCAAGACTGCATTAGGGTGGCTTGAGGGAGGTGTGGACTCTAGTGAACTGCCTAGGGCCGCCTGTGCTCTCACACTCGTGGAAGGTGAGCAGAGGCGCATGACGGTGGGGTTAGGGTCCTTCAGGCTGCCTCAACACCCCGTTTGATCGGGCCCGATGGGTCCTCCTTCCGAGCCTGCAGCAGCTACTGGGCATACTAGATGGTCTGTTGGGGTCGGCGGCTATCTCGGAACTCCAGAGCTGGATCATATCAACGGCAGCTCTTGGTGATGCTGACGAGGTACTTGTAAGGGTTCCTATTGCCCCTCTCCTGTGTGTTGGCAGGTTGACTCTACTGCGGATCTGCACTTGAACGACCGCTTGGTCATCCTGCTGGTGGGCCAACGGGTTGTGGCTCTTGTTCTGAGCGTGATGAGCAGTGACGATAAACCATCTGAAACGGCGAAGGAGGCGGCAGCGAAAGCAGTGGAGTTTTTGATCGAAATTCTGAATTTGCTGAAGTTCCTGCCGAGCCCGCTGACGCCTATCAGCGACCCACAGCCGAGGTTAATACGGAGTTTAGCTGACCGGGGCATACCCGACAGGTTGAGGGTCTTCCTGCATGGCCCGACGGGGCCTGATGTCCGCAGGGCTGACACTGGGCTGAGGCTACTGGGCGAAATCAAATGCTGCTGTTGCGAGGCCTTGCGGAAGGTCATAGAGAAGGAGGAAGTGCTTGACAGTGGGCAAGTGGGGGCAGTAGTGGAGGGCCTGCTGGAGGACGTGGGAGGTAGAGTAGTACCGTCGCATGGGGGGTCGTTGCCACTAGGGGAGCTGGAAGAGCCCCTTGGGGTCCCACCGAGTGATTGGGTAACTAGTGGGGCTGTGTTGACCATAATGGAGAGAGCGAGTGATGAAGTTAAGGAGGCCTGTGGGCTGCTGCGGTCGATTTCGGACGCTCTTGCGGCTGGTGTGGTATCAAGTGAAAAACGGTTGGAGACGATTGAGAGGATGGTCAGGTCTGTGAGGGATGGCCTTCCTGTAGTAGACTTTTCGGGAGTCCAGGAAGGGACTCAAGTCGTGATCCCGAACGACCTGCGCGCAGTGGTACTGTTGAGGACGCTAGTGAGAGTGGCCGAACATGTGCAGGGCGAGGATAAGATTGCATGCTCGGAGGAGATGATGACGCTGATAGAGGTAGCCCTGCTGAAGCCTCTGGATGTGTCTAGGTTGAATGCCTTGTTGAGGCTGTTGGTGACAGTAGCCCCCACCTTCCCTGAGAGGGTCCGTGCCTTGGTCCAGAAAATAGTGGATACTACAGAGTGTCGTGATGAAATCATCGTGAACTGCTGTCGAGCAGTGGATGCCCTCACGGATGTTGTGGATGTGTGGGAGGAGTTTAGTCGTTCGGAGTCGCAGCTGGCCTACAGTACTAAACCTGGGTTACGATTCGCTGTGTTATCGGCGCTACGCCACGGAGGGTCGAGGGCGTTGGGTCTGTCTGTGGCCCACATGGTGGAAGAGTCTTGGGACTCTCGGGCGGCCTGGGAGCAGCTCGGGCGGGTTCTTGAGACATGCAGAAGGGGCCCTCCTACGGCCCTGTCTATGACGTTGATGCGGGCTCTCGAGCTGATGGCTGGTCGTGAGTCTGAGGCCGTCTCCATTCATTTGCTAGGGTACTCTGCGGCGTGCATTGAGACCAATCCTGAGACACCCAGGCGGCTGTGCCGGAAGATGATACAGTCGGGATATTACGGTTCTCGAAGGCAAGCAGTTGCTTGCCTGTTGCAGCTAGCTGAGAAGTCCATCCCGGTGGGAGCGGTCGAATGGGGCCCAGCACTTGTCAAATTGTATAGTAGTAGTGCCGTGAGGGGGGAGGAGGGCCTCTGTGAGGAGATAGAGCGGCTGGTGAAAGTCATGGGCCATGTGCAGCCGAGGGAGTCTATGGAGACGGCCTTGGTCGTTTTGGGCGGTCTTGCTATGGTAGGTCGCCTCCTGAGGGCCCGTCACTCGAATTCTCAGAGTCCCAGTGCGGCACCGCCCGGCTCGACCGTGTCACCACGTGGTAACGTGCGTGGACGATCCCTTTCTGTGGAGGTCATGCGTGGGCGAGTGATGGAGGATGGTTCTAGTCCAGTTGCAGCAACAACGAGATATGGTGAGCTACTGATATTATGTATAGTAGTGCATTGGTACTTCTTGAAGATGATGCTGATAGCCATCCTCGTACACCTGTGCTCCTACCGAGGGCCCGGGCCTTGGCCGCTCGGCTCTTGGGGGTAGTGGTAGCCAACGTGGAGGTCGACCCAGCGGATACGAACTCGCCAGAAGCTGTGCTGAAGTTAGCACTCATGTTGGCGAATTCAAGTGGGCGCGGAGTGCTCGGAAGTGGCTCCTAGGTAACATCGCTGTATTCAGCCGATGAGAAGACTGTTGGACCGTCCAGAGATTGGACTGCTCTATACGTGGCCTCTCTAGAGCTCCTGCATCTAGTAGTGAGCGAAGACCGGCCTCAGACCGTCTCGAGCGGCGGGGTCCTCCTTGCCAGGTTGTGCAGAAATACAGTGTCGCTGCTGATAGCAGTCTACCGCGGCTGGCTGCCTATGAAGCGCAGGTGGTGCCGGTCCTAAGAGCAGCACTGCAGGCTTCGTATAGTGTCCAGGTAGTACTGGTCATAGTGTTGCATGGTCTATGGGTTTGACTCAGGAGGCTGCTTGTGACGTTGTTACAGTGTGTGTATCGCGACGGCTGGTGGGGAGTCCGGACGCGTTAGTAGCGGCTTTGGTGAGGAACATTAGTAGTGTAGAGGTGTCACCTGCTTTGGACCGTGTCACCGATAATTGGTAACTTCAGGTTGATGAGAAGGGGCAGTTGTTGTTCGAGGGACGGTATGGCTCAGAGGCCTCAGCTGCCTCTGCGTATTTCAAATGCTTCGTTACTCTTGCTGACTGCTTGGGAGAATCCTCCACTGTGAGTGAGGAGATCAGGAGCTCGCTGGTCCCGCACGTCGAGAGGCTGCTGGAGGACTGTGCGGTGGCTGGGCGTATCTATAGTGACAAGGAGGAGGCGACAGACTATAATTTTCTGACCTTTCGGGGGGCTGATTTTGCCTCTGTACGGGAGAGAGTATGCGGGCCTGTTGCCAATGCGGCTGTAGTGTTAGCCTGGGTATTGCAGCTGATTGACGGCGGCTATGTGGCGCCTTGCAGGGAAATTGTCGAGTATTTGCTCACTACTGGGTGGCCTGGGCTGAGTGGGCAGATCCTCACAGGGGCTCTGTCTGCCATAGTGGAGGAAGGTATAGAGGATAATGAGGTTGTCGAGAGGGTGCGGCAATGGACGGCTAAGGTGCGCTACGAGTCGATGGACAACATGCAGTTGTTGGCGCTCGCTGAAGTCTTCGACAAGTTCCAATGTGAGGAGCGGGCTGACTGTGCACAGCAGTGCCTCCGTAGGGGCATTCTGATAACCAAATCGATAAAAGCTTTGCTTGACCATATTGAGGAAGGTGCTCTCGTGGACTCGCCCTTTCCAGTGGACACTGTATTGATCGCCCCAGAGGTGACGCTGGCTCGGTGGGAGCCCGAGAAACTTCCGTCTGGGGTGGTAGAAAGAATAGCACGCAGATGTATCGCGAAAATCATGAACGATGTGCATCTTGGGAAAATCGAGGTCGAGAGACTACTTGGAGTTTTGAAGAAGTGTCCGGACTCGATCTGGCAGGGGGATGTTCACCTCGCTGATGAGCTTGCTCGGACCCTGGTTCGAATCCTGCGTCCGCCGTTTTTCCTGCCGGCCTCTGTTTTGGATGGTTTTGACTCCCGTCGGAAAGCAAGCGTTGCTGAGATCCTTGAAGAGGAAGGGGATGAGGCTTTGGCGAGGAGCGTATTGGGCGCGCGCGATAATTCAGAGGTTTTTTCAGAATGAAGTCGAAGTCGAAAAAATATCATTTTTGATATACTTGATATCACGGCAGATACTACTGTGGCTCTCGTTTTCGAGTTCGTATTTTTTCACTTGGTTGTTTCAGTTTGTCGGGTTCACTTTTCACAGCGATATGTCTGGCAAGAAGCCACAAGCACCGGAGGTGGACGTCAGCCAGATGACTCTGGCCAAGAGCTCTGGCGATCGCATCAACACTACTGTTGTCGTTCACCCCATTGTAAGGCGCGACTTGGCCTTAGACTTGGAATTTCTCTGGCAGGTGCTCCTCTCTATTGTCGATCATTACAACAGGGCGGCTAGGGGCACGGCGAGACGTGTTGTGGGCACGCTGTTGGGCCAGATGCTGGTAGACCTTTTCGGTGGCGAAAGTTGTGTAGTGTCTCCTTTCAGGATGGTAAACTGCATGTTACCAACAGCTTCGCCTTGCCCTTCGAGGAGGACCTGAGAGACCCTCAGGTGTGGTTTGTTGACCATAACTATCACGAAAAGATGTATGCCATGTTCAAAAAGGTAGGCGCGGCTCTTGCATGTTGTTGGTGAGATTGATGACTCATCGTATGGGTTTCGATGGGAGCAGCAGGTAGAGAGAGAGCATTTGTTTTTATGTGTTTCTATTGCAGGTCTCGCAGAAGGAAGTGGTCGTGGGGTGGTACTCTAGCGGGCCCAGGATTAAACCTAGCGATCTCGCAATCAATGAGATCTTCCGACGGTAGCCTGTCGTCTCCATCTGGATGTTGTTGAGAATGTGTTGGTATTCCTCATTACAAGGTATTGTCCGGAGCCTGTGTTCCTCATTATGGACGTCACTGGAGGCAATAGTAGCAGTGCTGCTAAGAAGGGGGATCTCGATCCCAGAGACTTCCCCATGCAGGCCTACTACTCGGCTGAAGAGGTAACTCAATCTTGCTGGTCATTCGGATGTTCCAGTAGGGTATAGAAACATTCAATAGGAAGCCCTTCGTGATAACAGCCATGACAACAGCAGAATTGATCTTCAACTCATCGTTGTTTTTAGGCCTCTGCAGATCCTCTCACTCGTAGAACCTTCGTTCACTTGCCTTCTGTTGTTGGAGCCTTTGAAGCCGAGGAGGTCGGTGTAGAGCATCTGCTACGAGACATCAGGTGAGTTCCTCTTGAGCGAGGCAGGACCGCCCCTTTATGGCGTATTGTGACAGGACGCAGAGCACGAGTACTCTGGCCACTCGAGTGGAGTCTAAGATGAATGCCTTGAAGTAAGTCTCGGGCAGCTCGTTTGGTATGATTTCGGCCGCTATCGATCAGTGTTGGAGGCTGAGCTCAGGAGTTCCCTCACTAGTTATAGAAATTCGGGTATCTCCCAAATTTTCTCGGAATTTCCTTACGGTCAGCAACACATGTAGTTGACCATATGCATATTTTCCGACACTGCTACCGCCTCTCGACTCGACTCCTGTGGTTGATGGAATGCCTCCTTTCAGAACCCTCGTGGTGAAGATTAATGAGATTGCACAGTACTTAGGGCAGGTTATCGATGGCAAGCTGCCTCCTAATGCACAAATCATCTACAATCTCCAGGTGAGACAACCGCTGCTGCCATGCTCGGGGTATTCGGCACTGGTCAGAACATATTCAACTACTTGCCTGGTGACAGCCAGGAGGACGTTGAGCTCATGCGTTCTTTCAATGTGGAGACCAACGACAGTATGCTGTGCATTTACTTGGGTAGGTCGAGGGTAAATGAGTATTGAAACTTGATGGGCCCAGGATCGATACTGCGTGCCACCGTCGCCCTGCACAACCTCATCAACAACAAGATCGCTAATAAGGCACCAGAAGCAGAGGCGGAGGCTAAGGCCGAGGCTAAGGCAGAGAAGATCTCTGCAGCTAAAGGTAAGCAGCCTAGCGGCTTTCCAACGCTGAGCTGGTCTGTTGTAGAGAGCAAGAAGTCGGCAACAGCACCGTGAAGTGATGGGGTTGAGTTGTGCAGAAACACCGAGTGCGCAGTTTCTACTTACTTTGATTTTTGTTGTTAATTCGAAGGCCAGGAGGGTTGCGGGTCGTTCCTAGTGTCATACGAGCCTTTACTCTGTCGATGCCTCTAGATAGGGAACAAGGTGGTGATGACGATGATGACGCTTACGCTCACTTGCTGGGCCAGTTAGAGCTGAAACAAAGGCAGCTGACAGAGGCGGAGGAGACCGTTCAGCTTTTTAAAGAGAAGTGAGATTGCAATGTGCGATCGAATCGTTGCTTACTGACGTGCAGGCTCGAGAAGTTGAGAGTCTACAACGACAGTGTGGTGACGGAAAACTCGGCCTTGCAAGGGAGGGTGTCGGAGGTCGAGGAGCTGCTGGGCCAAACACAGGGAGAGCTTGAGAGGGCGTTCCAGGACCAGAAGAGCTCGAGGGAGCAGTGGAAGGTTCAGTTGGAGACTCAAGCTGATGAAGTGGGTTGTGGCTATTCGCCATTATTGAAGTTGCTTCGCTCCGCCTGACAGATGCGGCGACTACATAGAATGATCACCACACAGGAAGACATTGAGGCAGAGAAGTTGAAGATAGCGGGGGAGCTCGAGATCGAGTGGGGCTGGGAGGAACTTCGAAGGTAGCGTATTTTCGATGACAGATACAATCGCAAGATGGCGGCGATTGAGTCAAGGCTGGCCAGCAGCAGGCAGAAGTGCGCGGAGTTGCAACGAGAACTCGACCAGGAGAAGATACGCAATGCTATGGAGCGACAAGAGGTGGGCTGCTGCTGCTGGGATGAGATGGCTCATCTGTGGTGAGCAGGCCGATGCTGCACTGAAGAAAGCGAGAGAGGAAGTTAAGGAAGAGGAAGAGACGGTGAGGGAGAACCGTGGCAGACTATTATTGACTTTTCTCATGTAGCTACAGCGAAAGCTTAGGGAGGCAGAGTTGGAGATGCGACGGTATGCAGAGCAGGTCAGTGCGATCCCGAAACTGAAAGCGCAGGTCTACGAAATGGGAGCTAAAATGAAGGTAGGCGAATGATGGTTGGTTCCCTTACGTACTGGGTGGAGCAGGAGGGAAGTGCTCTGGTGGCCTCACTGAAGGAGCAGCACGAGGAAACGGTATCGACTTTACAGGCTAGGATCGAGGTAAGCGTCGACTGTTGCCTCTGTTTCTATTAGTAGTAGAGACAAGGCCAACAGCTACTAAGTAGACTACTACTGGTGTTGTGGTAGGCGCAGAGGGCGGAGATTCTCCAGAGGGGGAAGGAAGCGCGAGATGCATTGGCTGAGAAGGCCAAGACGGATCGGGCTCATGCTTCTCTCACTGAGGAGAGCGCGAGAAGGGGAAGGGAAATTGTATGCTTCATTGGAGCCACGGCTGCTAGTGTTATCGTAGGAACGATTGGAGACTAGTGTGACAGCTATGAAGAGGGCTCATGAGGAGGAGAAGAAGGCGTTGAGGAAAGAGAGTGAAAAAGAGATGGTAAGAGAAACCAGGACCGAACTGCTTACCTAAAGCAAGGGATGGCGCCCGCCCAGAGGGTGAGGACGAACATCATGAGATTTGTTGTTCATATCTCCCAAGGTCACACAGTGGATTAGAATGTCTAAGTTGATACCGAAATTCCGCCACTTCATCAGCTTCCAATAGGCCGATCTCCGATCTCAACTCTCCGCTCAAGAGGGATGCGTGGGTCGCTTGGAGAAGGAGCTCGATCGGAAGTGTCGGGAATGCTGTGAACAAGTCAATAGAGCAGCTGAGCAAGTGAATGAGGCGGAGCGACGCGTTTCGGAGATCCAGAGAAAGTTCGATGAGGAGACGGTGGGAGGGAAATGCCGCAGTCAAAGCTGGAGTTGTCTTTTTGATAAGGCGCGAGTGACCATGGCCCACGAGGCGGAGGTCTGTGAACTGCACAGGCGGCTGGCTGGTATGAATACAGCGTGTGCGGAGGCTAAACAGACCATCAGCGAGGTGAGGCGACACATCTGATGGAGAGGCAGAGACTGTGGCGATCTCAGCTCGAGGCGGCGCTGAGGTCAGTAGAGGATAGAAATCAACGGGCATTGGCTGAAAAGGAGGATAAGGTGCGTTACGTGGGGGAAAATATGCACAGGGTCAACTACACGGGGACAATATGAAAATTCTAGGAAACCTTTGTCGGTTTCTATACACTTCTACCAGAATTCGTATATGAATTCCTACAATAAATGACAAAAGTCCTGAGGGAAGTGAACAGATAGTCCAACACTGGGTGTTTTGGCCTGGGCATGGTCTTCTCAGGCGGTCATAGTCGCTAGCTCATTGGAGCAAGCGAGAGCTCAGATGAGAGCTGCGGAAGACAAGGCTGCTGAGTTCGAGCAGATGGCCAGGGACTACGCTATGCTACAGTCGAAGCACAGGGAGACTCTCGCTCATGTAGCTCAGGCTTCGCTGTTTCTGTCTTTATGCTGTGTGGTAAGCTGACTAATACTGTGGAGAAGCTGGAAGAGAAAGAGATGTCCATCTCGGCTCTGAAGGCTGAGCTCAAGGATATCAATAGAGCACGTAGGTTGGTCCTGTGGCATGCTGAGTGCAGCTCTGTGGTGTAGATGAATACGAGAGGCATAAGGCGGCTCAAGATGCAGAGCAGTGGGCGAGAGAGGCGCAGGAAACCAGGCTTGAATTGCTCGTGGGCTTGGGTGAATTGGAGCGGTCATTGATCTACCATGCCGTAGGAGATGTCGCGGCATTCACAGGCAGTTGCTGAGGAGCTCCGACGTACCCGATCGTATGCTAAGAAAGTCAAAGCTAAGAACAAACAGAAGGTTAAGGAGGCCCGTAAGCTTTGGGCCAAACTGATGTTGTCGAATTGTCGATCAGATACTAAAGTGTCTACCACGAACGGCAAGCTGAAGGAGCTGGTCCGGCTACAAGGCCACATTGAAAAACGGGCATCTGAGTCGAAGGTCTCATACGAGCAACGGATAGCTGAGTATAGTCCTGTAGCGACTTTGACGATTGAGCCCTTTGGTTCAGTCTGGAGAGGCGTCTACTGCATGCTACTTTTGGTGGCGGCGGCGGCACGGCTCTTGCCCTGGCCAATATCCCTGCTCTACCAGTCAGCAGCAGTAGCAGCACCAAGTGAGTGGTCGTAGTCGATCGTAGTGATGTGCAGCTTCCTATTCAGTGGCTATAATGCTTTCGTTGATATGCCAGCGCCGGCCAGCTTATTCCGCCACACTACGGTGGAGTCAGCTCGTAGACATCGCCGAGTCAGAGACAGGAAAACTCGGCAACATGTTGATGCTGCTGCAGGTTTGCTACATTGGACCGCCACGTTGTATGTGTCCTTCTGTGCAGGGCCGAGTACCATCGCTGAGGAGTCGAAGGAAAACCAGGCGACTACTCAGCCAAGCCAGGAAGAGGATGATGTCGACCTCGCTGAGTCCCACCTCTGGCCTGCTGAGCATGCAAATCAATAAGTCGATTTCCGAAGTCTTCTGGTGTGTTGTGCCGAGTCAATTGCACTGACTTTATTCGTTCATTTCGCTGATGCCTTCTGGTCCGTCCTGGCTGACCGGTCGGGCCGACGCCGGGCCGTTCATGCTGTATCGGAGGTGCTTTGGTTTTGTCATCGTATTAGAGCTTCTATGGTTCTCTGATCACGCCGCTGAGATCATGTCACAAGGTAGATGCCGTAGCATATTTCAGGCGCGACTTGTTCTTCCTCAGGTTTCAGCCCGGTGGCCCCTGCAGAGCTCCCTTTCGACGTTCCCTTAACCCCATTGAGTCTGGATCTTGCCCTAGTCGTAGGTGGGTCAGTCGGCTGGGAACGGCCTCGGCTTGTTGGAAGTCAGCCACGCCTATGTTAGGTTGCTTTATGAGTGTCTGCTTCGTCGCATTGGAGCCCTCCTGCTGGACTAGTGTACCCCTTCTCATCGTATATGCCTATCTTAGAATATCCGACTTCACCAACTGGAACAACCACTACTATCTTAATATCCTCGAGCTCGCCTTGTTCACTATCACCGACTTCGAGTATTCGCCTCGTGGCCTGAATGATGACATGAGCCGTGTCACTGAGCTGAGCCGGCGAGGACCAGAGATGATGGATACGGCCGAGTCCCTGTTGAGGTCCTCTGAAGAGCAGACCGGTTTTGATGCTAACCATGGCTTGAGTGGAGAGCCCGAGTCGCCGTTGAGCTCTTCTGATGACGATAAGGAACTCAGAAGGTTGCTGGTCCACACGGTGCCGTCCTGGTTCTACTTCGCTTTTCGCTCCCTCATATGCTGGACCTACTTCATGGCGGGCATGAGCAAGATCTCAGAAGCCTGGCTCAACGGCTACATCACAGAGACAATGTTGCACAATTGGGATTTCCCACTAGTCCACATGCTGGTACCGCGGCACATGACGCTGCTTCAGCTCGCTGAGCTGCTCGCCTGGGGTGGCCTCCTCCTGGACCTGATTGGCGGCCCTCTTCTCCTCACAGCCGTCACATTAGGGAAAAGCGTGGCCACGTATGTGTGTCTGGGCGTGTTCATACCATTCCACGTCACTAACCTGCTATGGCTTTTCGAGAGTATCCAATTCTTCCCACTGAATATGCTCGCCACTACTTTGCTCTTCCTACCATATAAAACTCGGGACGGCCGCGGCAAAACGACATCCACTGGAAAAGCCCTCCTGGTTTTCTTAATCATATTCGGGCAAGCTGCCTTCTCCTTGCGACGTTTCTTCCTGTTTGGCAACGTCAGCGTATCGGAGATCAACGAGATCACGGAAGTGACTGCTCTCCATCATGAGTTTTCGTGGCGCATGAAATCCAAGGCCATCAGGGACTCCATCCCCCACCCTTCGTTGAAGGACAAGCAGCTGAAGCTGGGGTACTTCGTCGCCGCCAAGTGGGAAACGGGGACGAGGAGTGTTCTTAACACGTACGAGATGATGCCAAGGGGAACGACTCCGCATAGGAACCTCATAGTGCAGTTTGCTAGACGCAAGATGACACAAGGCGGCAGCACTAGCAAGACAGCATATCAGTTGAGCTCCAATCACTGGCTGGCGGTCTGCGGCCGCCCCTTCCAGTTAGTGGTGGACTCTCGATTCGACATACTCGACTCACAGGAGCCATCATGGCCCCCGCCTCTGATGCCCTTTGACCTGCCTGAGCGCTGGCGGTCTTTGCTCGAGAAGGACCTGCAATCCTGGGCACCTTATAACAACGAATATTTCGTGATCAGTCGCGACCAAGGAGTAGTCGCAAACCCCCTGCTACATCTGAGTGATGATGTACAACCGCGGACGTTACGCTGTCTGATGGACGCTCGCCTCACAGTACTGTTGAGGGGCATTGGCCCGGTCAATTGCACGGGCCCTGATGGCATAGTAGAACTCAAGACTGGTAAACGCTGGGAGCTCCTTGGCCATGGCGTATGGTCACTAGTATGGTTGATCGAATGGGTTGACCCTCATGCAGCTATAAAATTCAGTGGATGACCCCAGACCACTTACTGTGGTGTTCACTTTGTCCGAGGGATCCGCTCTCCTGATGGTTTTCGCCTTACCGAATGCCCATTTGAATCCACCACTGGCAGCGACTGCTTTCCCACTAGAGGCCAACGCCCATCATCACGCCGCAGGTGAGAAGCTTCCCTTATCGCGATCAATCGGATCAATCTATGAACACTCGCATGTCTTTTCTCGCTCTATCGGTGACAACGCTATGACAATTCCGAGTGGATTTCCTAACGACCCTCAGCTTCTGCAGTGAGAAGCGGTTACTGCTAGTCATGGTAGCAAAGGAGAATCGTTGTCCCTCTGGATCTAACCCGCAGTGCTTGACAATATTGATAGGTCACGCACACCATCAGCCAGCTCATCAGAGCCATGCCGGCTTGAAGCATCACAAGGTGCTGCCTCATCGTCCTGGTAAAGGGGCGAAGGGAACATCTGGAAAATGGAAATGCAAGTGTCCTGGGTTCAATGGCCCAGGCTACGGGGTGGACGATGGTGAGGCGTTGCTATATGCATACCCTCAAGGGCGCCTTGCAGGCTACAGTCGAGAGTGGCATCACCCACCACGCCCCAACAGTCTCCCTCCCCCTCCGGCCGAGGCAGCAACAAATTGGGCGAACCACGCCTTCGTCGCATCCAAAATGGTGGAATTTGAACATACGAAATTTTGAACCATCGATATGTCGTCAGGCCGACTCAGCTGCTGGTGACATCGAGGTTCTACGGGAGAAGACCCATGAGTAGATGCACTCATCCTAAGAACGATGGCGGGCTCAGCCGGTCAGTTACGTGATGCAAACGCAGCACGATGCCAGTAGGCTGATGAGATGGGCAGCCCTCATTGGTGAGCAGATGCAGAAGGACGGGCAGCATCTGGTCTGGGGTGGAACAGCCCATGGTCGCAGAAACTAGCCTCGTACAGGTTGACCAAATTGCCGAGCAAGCTGTGCATAGTCAGAAGCTCGCTCAGAAGATGGTGGACACAGCCACCAAGCAGGCTCTTATGGCCCATGTGATCTGTGCCACTATGGTGTGCGATTGGGGACTCTAGGTGTCAGACCCTTGCGACCAAGTCCCTCGATGCAGCTAGGAAGGCCGAGTTCGCCAAGGCAATGCAACATCTTGCTGACGAGCCGAAGAAGGCTAGCTTCGCAGTTAGTTCAGGAACGCCATATGATTCTCATGCTGTTATCATAGACCAGAGGTCATGGGCATCACAGCACTGCATTCAGTGGCACCGATAAGACAGAACAGGACCTTTTCAACGCCTACCAAAAGGCAAGCCGCTGCCTCCACGAGGTTGGTCATCGGCACAGTGGCAGGCACTACGGTTCACGAAAATGCACGAGTCGGATAAGTGGCGACATTTTTGGGGCTCTCGAATGAATAAGGCACAGCAGCTCTCCGGAGATCTAAAGTCAAAATCTGATGGTAGCACGCTACCCATTAGAGTGAATTCTTGGCAGTGCGTATTGGACAGGATACGTCTTTCTAACGAGACTGGCTGGGGAGCGCCTCTTGCACGATGCTGCCTTGGAGGCTTCCTCGGCTGTTGCCAGCGCTCAGCGCATTGTGAACCAAACAGCTGTGAAGGCTGCTCTAGCTACAAATGTGGGGAAGATGATGGACTGTATTCACCAGAACATTGGACGCCTTAGCTCATAGAACGTCTCCTGGCTCAAGCATCGCATAGGGCAGCGGTCGCCGAGCACATGGTGACTCGGGCTGAGGCCGAGGCAACTAGAGCGGCGGAGATGGCACGCCAAATGGCCAATAACGCGAAGTCAAGCGGCATCGGTGGTGGCGTGTGCCGACTCTTATCTCGAAGGTACTCCCAGAGTTCTGCCATGCAGGCGGCAGCTGCTCAGATGGCACAGGCCATGGGCTACTCTGTGGCCCCACAGGGGGTGATGGACCGCAGCCATACCGGGCCATGGCTCCTCAGCAGGTACCGAGTCCCTTAACGCCTTTGCAGAGCGTCACCATCCGGGCACATGCAGGCGAGGGACTCAACGACTCGTGAGGTTTCCGCACTACAAAAATATGTTATGGATGAGGACAGGTTTTGGTGGAAGCCGTATCGCCAGCATTGGCTCTACGACATCCAGACGCCGCCACCTGTCAAGGCACCGCCAGGGACCCATGGGCTCCAGTAAGACGACATCGTGGTACACGTCTTTGGTGGATGGTTTCACAGGTACCAGCAGGGACAGTACGGAGGGATACCCAATCCCAACTCGAATGTGTATGGTCGATGCGTTATGGTACAGTTAGTGGTACTTTCTTAGGCACGTTCGTTATGCTACTGTCACCCTCGTGGATGCAAACTTGGCAGTGGCGACTGTAAAAGCGAGGAGTGTTAAGCGGAATATGTGGAATGATTTCCTCACCATGTGACGTGAAACTTCATATACGTCTCTTTGGAGGAGATTTTTCCAATTTCGTTCGCAGTCTTTTCGGGGTTTTCCGTTGGTAAGATAAATCGTATTTGTCGAGCCGAAACCTCGTCCTGGCACGATTCCGTCGAACAACGACAACGCGAGTAACTTCAGGAACTTTCATTCTGCCCAAGGAGGTGCCAATGGTCAACCGATACAGCCCCCAGTTGACAGTTGCCGACTAACACGACGCATATAAATGTATGATATACCTTATTGATTCAAAATGTACTGAAGCTGCTATTACAGCTGCTGTAATACAGCATGAATTGCAGTACAGAAGTAGGTCAGGGGAAAACCAACCCTGGCAATTCCTCAAGGGGGTACAGCCCAGACACGATCGGGAAAAGTGCCTACTAATTATCCACTCTTGCTTGCAGTCTCTACGTGAAAGCAAGCACTAGGAATGAGACGCTATATATGCGGATCTACCCATTGTGTTCGAACATACCCGGAAGACTCCCCACCAACTGACTCCACTGTGCCAACAAAACAACAGTAGGCAAGAGAGAATTAGCGTCAGCTCACTGCTGGCCTCAGTTCGGCAATAGGATACGCTGCTGAGCTGTTAACAGGTACTAGCACTGGCAGCCGCCGTCCTGCTCTGTCAACTTCATAAACGTGCACCCAGGATCCTTCCCGCGTTCGAAATGCAACGCCAACTTGTGGGCCGAAGTCCATTAAGGCTGAGGCTTGTGAGATGATTGTCCCTAAAATTAGCATCTCATAGAGGGGCTTATGAACCCGTTTAGACGACAGTGTATTTCCACTTCAACGAAGGTCCGCTTGCGTTGGTCCTCAGCGCGATAACGAATGCGAGTTGGCAAATCATGCCGATAGTACCTTTAGGAACCTTTTCCTTGTACGAACGACCCCAATGACCGCCCCTAGCACGAGATGGCGGGTCGACCCACAACGTTGCGGTGGCAGCAACCACCCTCCACTTGTCCATCGACATCAGCGGCCTACTAGGAGCTACTTCAGACGTATCTAACTGACGAGAGAACCTCGCGTTGTGGCAACCGTGGCTGTCTACCCTCCTCTCAATGCGACGCCGTGATGTGACTGGCTGCGGCTCTGACTCCTCACTGGATGAAGACGCTCCCTTTTCCACTGAGACGCTGCAAGCCCTCCGCACTTGGGCGCACCAAGGGGATAGGAACCCTACAACATACTCGCCTTCATACACGAGCCTTTACATTACCGGCTTCTTCCATTCCCCTATTTAAAAAGGGCATGAATCGGCCGTCCATCCAGCAGTAGTATATGTGTCGGCAAGCATCCTTTGTCCGCAAAAACCTGTTATGACCTAATCAGCATTCAACGCAAAGCGCGGTAATAACACCGTTTGATATCGTCAGGCAAGGAGTCGTTCTCTTTATGGTCCCGATACTTATCATTGTCAACGAAGTACCTGCGTATGTGAGTTCCTCGGCGCAGTTGTAATACAGTAGTACCCGTCCATTATCGACGCTGCTATGATGGTAGAGAGGTCGTCACTGGGGCCAGGATTAGCGTCGCATTTAGGTATGTCGTCGCACATTCTTCTTATGTCATTAGGAATGTCGTTGGCAAGCCCGTGCTGGACTATTAATTTTACCTGTCCCTTTCAGTGCTTCAATGGAACGACTCACGGGTTATTACCTCGGCATTACAAGCACGGAAGTATTTGATGCACTCTCTGGCACCGTTCCAGTTGGAGGTTTTCTCGCCCAGGCCGAGACAGTTCTGGGCGTAGTCGTGGATCACATTCGCAGCGTTTATGACCACCTTCGGCACCCGCAAGTCGATGGCGGGTCTATCTACCATTATTGGCACTAATAGAGCGAGAACAGTGAAATATACAAGAAAGCAGCAAGTCGCAACGGAGAAGTTTCCAACCAGGCTGCCTCGTCCAGATGTTGCCTATCGCCAAGATAAGACGATGAACACAGCCGACTACGCTGTGCATGCGTAACTAAAGTCCATCCAGTTTACAGGAAACTCAATAGCAAGCATAAGCTCAATCGACTTGACTCAGCACGTTGACCAATAACTAGTAGACAAAGATAAGGTGAGGTCCCTAAGAGTCAGACCGATTGAAACTTGAAAGCTTCAAACCAAAGTACAACTCACAATACAACCAAAAGAAAGTAGCTCCGCAAGTGAGTGCGCCACAAACCAGTGTTTGCACCACTCAACGCAAGTTTCAAGTTGACATATACTTAACGACTGATCTGATACACTGGTCGGCGCGCGCTAATTGGAGCGCATATCGAGTTAAGTGCGATAGGCCGCCAGTTCAATAGACAAGAGATCGTTTCCAAAGCTGGTTCTAAGAACCAGCTGTGGATTTTCCAAATCCCAGAATTATTTGTAGCAACGTTTCTCAAATTTAAAATCGGTCTATTGAACAGGCGGAGGAGCATCAATTATCTATGTTGCGTAACTTTAGTTTCCTTTTGAAGCAAGAAGAAGTGTTGCGAAGCAGAGTGAGTATTTTGGATTACCATGATGGTTACAACATAGACACCGCTCGCGCTGTGGCATACCGGCCCCAAGTGAACTTGGAGTCGCAAACAGCCAAGTTGACGCCACAATTCGTCAAAATAAGTTACTTTGGTCGTGTTGGTGAAATTGATTGTACCAAGACATATCTTGAGGCTATGGCATAGGTGCCCCGTCCACCGTAAAGGTCTTCACAGGTGTTGCCTGTTGTATAGTAGCTGTACAATGTCTTCTGGTGAGTGGCCGCCGCCGCCTCCACCCCAGTCGGGCCACAGACCACAGCATCCTTACCAGTACCATACACAGCGGAGTCGATATGATGTACACCACCCACCACAGCAGCAGCAGCAGTCACTACCTATGGTATGGCTTGATCATCAGCCACTGGGGTACTGCTCACGTCATCAGGTACATGACTATGGGGGCTCTGTGGACATACATGCATGGTGGATGGTGGCGATGCAACAGCAGCAACAGCAGCAGCTTCACCCGTCGAACCTCATGGCTTACCGCCGTCAAATCCACCACGGCTTTCCTGCTCTTCCTGTCCTGCCGGTAGGGCACTGGCAAAGCTGGACAGGAGGGCCACCACGACAAGCGAATCCCGTCGTGGACCCTCGTATGTATGACCAGAGGCGGGATGATGAAGTTCATCGGCGCCGAGGGTGGCACTTCCAGGCAGCCCCGCGAGAGGTTCAGCGAGCGCCAGTTGATCCACGGTCGCCCTCCCCACTTCGGCTCCCATCCAGTCGAACGCAGATGACTAGCAGCGGGCAGAAGAACGAGGCGTGGACTTCACATGGTGAGCATGGGGAACCAAGGCTGGGCAGGGTGGCCTCGGGGCGAATGGCTCTTTGAGTGAGAACAGTGACTGAACTCTTGTGGTCGTTTTCAGCAAGTTCCCCGAGGCCGACGCTCAGCGTCCAACGATTAGTTGATCATGGTTACCGTGCTGGATCTCCTAGGCGGCGTAATTGGACGCCTAGATCCTGTCCGGAAGCGAGAGTTGACCCCTCAGAGAGCAGTGGCCGATGTGATCGGCATAATTCCGTTTGCTGGACGGTCGGTCGCTCACGCAGGCGGAGGATAGACGAAAGCGGGCCGCTAACTAATTCGATGCAGAAAAGACGGCGAGTCTCTCGGACGGAATATTTGCGATTGCCTGTCTTTTCTGAGGATGAGCGGGGTGATGTCGCGGGGACTGGCCAGCAGCAGCGGCCGGCCTCGAAGACGCGGTCTTTCATTGAGCTGTTGTTGGAGGATCGGCGGAAATCTGCGGCTTCTTTCTCGACACCCGAGCGGAGCGAAGCGAGAAGGGATGAAAAGATGGAGAATTCGTCCTCGGCCACCCCACCTCCCACCAGGCGGCTGTCCGTTATAAAGGAGGGAACGGAGGTGTCGGCTGGTCACTCATCGAGGAGCACTCCGCAGGAACTGAGGAGACAGGTGTCACCCCCACAGACAGATGTCCGGTCATGGTATGATGGTGAGAGGACGCCATCGTCACCGTCTTTGCCGCGGATCAACCCAGCCGACTACGGTTGTGGCGTACCGGAGGATGACGGAGGGTTTACAACGGACGTTGAACGTGGCTTGGCCGGCGAGGAGGATATCGGCAGTAGCAGCAGCGATGATGAGGCATCCAATGAGTCTGGAAACGACGAGGATTCGAGCAGTGAGAGCAGGTAAGCAGAACCCCTCCAGTGAGCGTAGCAGTGTTGATCCTTGCAGTGGTTCGGCATATGAGATCGTTCAACAAGGGGACGAGATCGTCAGAAGGAAGCGGCGGAAGAAGAGGGAGCCTGCGAGGGGCTTGGAGTTTATCGATTGGAGCGAAGAATTCAACACTGGTATCATCGCTACCGCCCACGAGCCGACTCTGCGGTTCAAAAAGGTGGTGACGCGAAGATTCGGGGCGAAACTCAGAGGCCATCCGATGTTCCGAGAGGACGTCCAGCGACAAGAGCAAGAGAATGGAGACAAAACGCATGTTGCAGAGTTACAAATGTAGTTGCAGCGGCCAACGCGGCCATCATCACCGCAACGATGAGTTGTGTTAACTAGTGTAAAGGGGTCCATAGATGTGGAGAATGACCGGTATATGATAATTAAAACCACGATCATGAAATCTGGTCATTTCCTATTACGCGGACGATTGGGAGGAATATTATCTACGGTGTCATGTCACACTAGTGGTCGAGTAGTAATAGGTTTCGTAACAAGTCTCATGGTACCGAAGTGAACCATTCATAGGCTGATGATATACTCCCCCTCGAAGGGTTAGATGAGGGGACAACTTCAATGTCTTTCATGACGTGATTCATATCACATGTAACTGACGATCTGGTTTCCTATTGTACAGACGTTTATAACGGCTCAGCCCCCACTGATATAAACTCGAGAACAGCATCGAGGGTATAGAAGGTTTCTTCCACAGTGAAGGGAATAAATGATGAAGAGGATAAGTGAGGAACTTGCAGCACAGTCCCCATACGAAGAAGCAGATCACTTAGCGTAGGACCATAAGGTGACATTTTGTCGGTTGGTCCTCCCCTTTCGACTCTTCTGCAGCATGTTACTACGTACTTGCGACTGAGAAAATTCAATACCAACAACAGTGACAGCAATAGCCTCACCTTCTGTGCCTCGAAGTCCATGAATCGCATGGACTTTAATAGGGACTTCGCCTCTCGCTTCTGCTCCCGATAGCTCTTCATGCTCATTATAGCGCCTGACTGATCTCCCCCAGCGATGGCCAGCATAGCGTTCTTCTGCTGCGGCAGAGCTCTCCGAGGCTCATGACGCTTATCACCAACCCTGACGCTTGTTCCATGAACACATTTGCCGGACCCACACAGGCGCTACCTGTTGTTGGTGAGTCGCTGCTTGTAGATGTAGGCGTACATACGATGGGTTGCCACCTTACCATTGGGGAGGCGGAGGGACCCGTCGTCTCTGAAACCGATCATCGAGAGGGGGGGCATGCGACAACACTTACAGAATTTGAGCTCTTTGCAGTCCAGTTTGGATGACGGCCTCGTCGAGATCCTCCTCATCACCACTAACGGAACCTAATGATGACCGATTGCCACTATAAATTCGCGATGGAGTGGTATGGTTTATCTCAGCGAAATTTCTACGTGGTTTACTCCTATCCTACTATTCCTATATAAACCTACTTCATCAAGCGACACCCATGTCCGCAAAACTCGAGTAATCACTAATAGGGTACTACCAATTTCGGTCCAATCATCACTGTCGTCATCGTCGCTGTCATATGCTTCTCCCTATGCAAAGAAAAATGCCGACGGCCAGACTCAACCCTTCGTAGTCCTACCTCCTCCTGCGAGGCGGCAGCCTGCAACTCCAAATAGGAAGAGCTGAAGTCATAGAAGGGATCCAAGTCAGCCAGCAACTCATCGGTATCCGTACCTGATAGTAAAAAATATCACCATGAAGACAATGACAATGCGATAACATAGGAGAGTATTAAAATGGAAAGCCCCTACTACCGATTCTTGTATGTTTCATATCGATCATGTGGGACTTGACAGCACCAACACCACTATAGATCTTATTGCAGTACAGACCTGATAAGAAGGGAATGCCTACGACTAGCCTAGTAACGAAGGGCGTACACTGATGGCGCTCATAGATCTTCTCGGTCAACATGGAGAGAAGTCCAGGAAGGTCCTTGAGGTAGTCGATATCCGGGATGAAGAAGGAGTACCTGTCAATACAGTTACCACCCAAGGGCTCGATAGAGACGGCCATTACTTGAGGCTCATATAAGCGAGATTGTCCTCAACAGTAGCATGCTGGGTGTTGTCGAACAAACAGGTCTTATCGTCCCGAACTATCTCCACCTGAGGTCCGTTGCTCTCCTCCCGTCGCTCCTTGTGGTGACCTTGTACGCCTAAAACTCCATAGTGTGAGAACACCCCGATGGGGACCATCCGAATACCCTCCCCCTCGTCTCTATGTTTCAGATGAGCTGTGCCTTTGGTATCTCCAACGCCTTCTGCCAGCTGCTTCAACTGCTCTACTCGAGCCGTCCATACTTCCGGGCAAATTGGAGCCAAACCAGCTACCTTCCGTTTAGTGTTGTAAACATGGAAATCTGTCGAGTGAAATTTCAACCATTTTTGCCCGGCTGTAGTCTCACCTGATTTATAGTGGTCTCGTTGCTCAGCACTATCGGGGAATTCCAGGCCGCAAGCGTTGCATCGAAACTCGCTGATAGGCTCGGTCGGAGCAGCGGTAGAGAGAGAATTCATGGTTATGATATATGAAATCAGTTGACACTATCAATACCACTTAGTCCGCCTTCTTCCCACTAGCCTGCATACGGGTTCATTGTGGTGACTCCTCTGGGGCAGTCACCGCACAGAGGTAGCTAGACTAGTCTGAAGAGCTTGGAGTTTGTGAAATGTAAGATGGGAGGATTCTGAACTCTCAGATGTATTGAGATGGTAAAAAACGTCTCTTAAAGACTCTAATTGACCTCCCATCGGCAAATTCCATTGAACAGCGGAGCGAAGCATTGCATGTTGTGCGTTTTTCACTTTTCTGTTGAAGTTTTCAACGGGAATGGCCACCAAAGTTGCTCATCAGTCATCATAATGTGAGTGGGAGAAGCGTTGAAGAATCTGATGACGGCCTTTGAACCATGCAGATGTCCATTCTTGCTCCCTCCCCATCGTTTTTCATAGAGGAGCGTCTCGTCAGCGTACTGATGATCTCCTCGAAATGGGGGCTAGCAACAATAGAAATCGGATCCACGCTATCCTCAACGTGTCGTTATAGTATATGTTCGACTGAGCTTACGAGCTTCCTCACTAGTTAGAGAAGTTTATATGTGAGTTCGGATAGGACTCCTACCGTAGGAGTGCTCAGAAACCAACGGGAATTTCCCGAAATTTCATCAGAATTCCCTAATCGTCACCAACCATGTGCATATTTTCCAACACTGGTCCACTCGATGCGATACCCTGATGATATGTTTCTAATGGTTTTTCACAAGGTGATTCGACAGCAGTTACTTGAGGAGTTGTGGTAGACAACGTTCAGCCACCACAGGAGAGAAAGCGAGGTTGGCAGCGACGTAGGAAAAAAGGCGAAGCGGAGGGACCTGGCGAACCAGCAGTGAGGGGACCAAAGGCTCGGCCGGTTGGTGAAGTCAGAGTTATTTTGGTGAACCTCTGGAAGGTGTATGAAAATCGACTGGAGTCTGACGAGTCAGTTTATCGCGAGGATCTGAGGACGTCACCGGTTAGAAATATGATCAGTCGATCTCGATTATAGCGTAGATGAATTCACTGTGATAAATACCACCCGAGTTTGGAACTAGCGTCACACCAGTTGAGAGTGGTGGGATCCTCGACATGATCTGTTGAAATTGTGGTATATACTCTGAGTTGACTCCTCCTCCTCGGCGGCGGCGGCGACTGTTGCTGCCATGTAGACGGTACACTACCTCGCGAATGAAGAGAGAATGTTACTCTCCTATGGTGACGGCAAGTCAGCTTGACTCTTCCGGAGTGCGCCCCTTGGGACTTTGGTCCTCGTGATAACACGCTGCTGTGGGCCTCCATGGAAGTCGTTGTGACTGAGTTATTGTCCTCGCTAGCAGTATGGGAAAATATGCACATGGTCAACCACATGTGTTGGTGACTGTATGAAAATTTCGAGAAATTCTGGGTGGTTTCTGCACATCTCTACCGTAGGTCGTATATAGACTCCTATACTTAGTGAGGAAAGCGAACGTAGTTTTCAACACTGCTGGCTAAGGAGAAGGGGACGGACTGGGTGCTAACGGAGGTAGCTTCTGGTCACGTGTTTGATTGGAAGCTCACGGCTCCTGAGAAACTGTGGGAGAGATGAGGTGCGCCGTACTTGGTGCATTTTTGGGGCTATTTTGAATCTTACGTGGGTGGAGCCTAAGATTCGTTCACTCGTAGTAGGAATATTTTGCATCTTCCTTCAGTCTGCCTGGAGACCCACACCCAGTGGTATCTGAGAGCACCTGTCACGCTTCCTCTGTTGACGATCAGCTGCCCCCTTTAAAGTTGTCTGAAGAGGGCCTTCCAATACGGCCTGCATCGGTGCTAAGGGCTGCGTACTACTTGCCCGGAAGTCTCTCCCGATTCGAAACCGCTGTTGGTAGAGGTGGCTGCTCTGTGTATGTGTTTCTCAATAGTGAAAGGTGTATTGCGTTGGGGTTAATTTCGTGGCGAGTGACGGATCACGAGGAGGGGATAGGATTGCTTGTATCATTGTTGTTAATGGTGACGACCCGCTCAGCACGGGCTGCCCAAAGACTGTTGCATTCTGGTAAGAATTCCGTGGCGCGCGGGAAAATTGACATCCATGTGCAGATCCCCTATGCGGCTCACCGACCCCTGCAGCGGTGCCTATGAATCTTCAAGTTCCACGAGTGATGGACTCGTCCCCATCCAGCACTACTTCTACAAAACGGAAGGTCCTTGATAGCGAAGGTAACCTGCTCTGCGGGGCGGATGGTGGTCCAGCGGGGGAAAGGATTTTGTGAATCATAATATTGGAATTTCAGCCGTTTTACGTGAAGTGGTGTAAAACGCGATATTCGCAGTAGTCGTGAAATATGTTTTTCACTAGTGTTTTTCATATCACTAGGGTGAAACTCCACTATTAAAAATATCAATTGTCATATGAATTGTATTGAAGATAGAGGACAAAGGAGGAATAATGGAGTTTCACCCGTTTTACGTGAAGTGGCGTAAAACTCGGTGAACAACGCGATATTCGCGGTGATATGCAGTAGTCGTGAAATATGTTTTTCGCTAGTGTTTTTCATATCACTAGGGTGAAACTCGAATAAACCCATTGCTGAGACTGTATGATAAATCTATTTTTAATAAGTATACATCGGATCATACCGATCATTGAATGGTGAGGTAAGATACTCGAATGCAGGGTGGAAAAAATATGTTCATGGTCAACTACACGTGTTGGTGAAAAAAATGAAAATTCTGAGAAAATTTTGGGAAAAATTTCTGGTTTCGGTACACTCCTACCCGAATTCGTGTGTAAACTTAGAGGAAGCGAAGATGAATTTTTCAACGCTGATCAGATGAGGACGTGTTGCCGGCCCGGAGGTCGGCGAGGTTGTCGAGTTTCGGTGGCAGCGAGACGGCCAGCAGTCCAGGGGAGCCCAGCAGTCCGATTCAAATCTCGATCGAGAGCGGGTCTCTATCGGAGCCTAGTGGTGAGTTGAAAGGCCTTGGTGGTTGGCATGTGCTCAGCAGGGGAAGGTATGGTCAGCACGCGTGCGTTGAGGTATGCGATCGGGACTACTCCTCTACTGCCCATCACAGAGAGAGGGGACTTCACGCCGCGACCAGGCAAGGGGGGACTGTCCCTGGTTGAATCACACGTTGGCGCTCCTCAGCCGAGCGCAGGAGTTTCTCACTAATGATAGGAGTCTATGCAGAAACTAACACGAATCTTCCAAAATTTCTTCTGAGTATTCATATCGCCACCAACACATGTGGTTGACCATGTGCATATTTTCTCACTATTCAGGATTCTCGGGCCTGGTGAATCTCGGGTGCACCTGCTACATGAACGCAGTACTGCAGTGCTTACATGCCATGCTGCCTTTGGTCACATATCTCCTCCGAGGGTAGGGTGGGTTTGAGGAAATGCAAGTGGCAGTAAGAGAGCAAGATGTTCAATAATGTTAGGGAGCATGAAGTTAACGAGAAGAACCCCCTGGGGTCTGGCGGCGATATTTCCAGTTGGTGAGGGCCAATCATATTCCTCTGTGATTCCCTATTTTGTGCTTCAGCGTAGCGAAGCTACTTTCGGACATGCGCCTTTCCTCGTCCGCTGGGCCTATCGTGCCAAGGGAGCTCAAGAGGGCTATCAACAGACATATGCCGGCTTTTAGGTAAGGGCTGCTGTTGGGCTGCCCTGACCTTGTTGGTAGGGGCACGGGAGTTCAGCACGATGCTGCAGAGTTCGCCACGGCGCTTCTGGACAAGTACGGGCTCTCTCTGGGGGCCCTTGGATGTCCCTGGTAGGCTCCATGAGGACCTCAACCGCGCGTCGCCGCCTAGTGAGCCGCCTTCTACGCCGGAGTGCACACTGGAGATGAGTGAGGAGAAGGGAATAGAACGGATCGCGGCTGAGTTTTGGAAGTAGGGGGGTCCGGACTGAGTGCTGGAGGCATTGCTGTTGATGGTAGGGCTCAGCTGGCTAGGAATCAGTCGATTGTGGTGGACTTGTTCCAAGGGCAGACGCGGTCAGTGTTCAAGTGTAGCTCCTGTGGTCACTCGAGGTGAGAGGAGGGTTCTGACGTCGGTGTGGTATGGTCTGTGGTCAGAGTCGTCTTCGAGGCGTTCAATTCGTTGATACTACCGATCGAGAGCGCTGCAGGGAAGCCCCTATCTGATATCTATGCCTGCTTGAGGGAGTTCGCTCGCCCTACTGATTTGTCGGGGGACAACGGATGGTCCTGTGCTGTAGCGATGGAGGCTCTTAGTATTGTGGTATTGGTAGGTACTGTGTGAAATGCAGCACGTTGTCGGAGTCGACTTGCGACACTGCACTGTGGAAGCTCCCTAGCGTCCTTATGATACAACTGCGTCGCTTTAGGCAGCTGAGTCCGATACGGTGGAGTAAGAGTAGTCACCATGTACGATACTACTCCTTGGGGCGCGCTGGAGTGGGCGGCTGCAGGTGCACTATCCTACGCGAAGTCAGCTAGACCTGAGTGAATTCGTGCCAGAGTCCCATCAGAGGGACGCCCCACGGTATCGCCTACTAGGAGTGGTCCGCCATAAAGGAGTCATGACGTAGGGCCTGGGTCCATGATGATGGAGGGCAGCTGTTGGGATTGTTAGGGGAGGTCACTATACTGCCTTTGTTAATCATGATAAGACCCTGTGGGACCTCAAGGGACGGGAGAAGCCCGCGGATCGGTCCGCCCAGACCCCTCGAAGGGCCCCTGAGCACATGGGTGAGGGTGCCCCTATGGTGACGGCTTGTATGACTAGGGTCAGGCCATCACACAGTTGCTGCTAGTCCACTCTCGCGAGCTGTGTTGAATCTGATCCCTGGCTCTCCTAATGGTGATAGGAGCCCCTTCTATGAGCGGGCAAATGCCTTATCCCTAGGTTGGTGGTTTTTCGATGACGCCACAGTGCAGCCCTTGCTGAAAGAGTCCCTTGTGGATTCCCGTGGTGAGGGGTCTGCTGGGTCTGCCTTCTGCCCCCACTCGCTGTGACTGCTCATTGGGTAGATGCTTACGTTCTTTTCTTCGTCCGCTCGGGGACTCCGGTTGACCACAAGCTGGTTCGAAGTCAGAGGGATAATCAACCGACTGATTGGCCCCACATGTTCGAGAGGGTCGACCCCAGCGCTGACAGATTCGACGATGCTTCCCCTCCTCATGATAGCAGTAGTGACTGAGATAAGTCCTTTGCCGTGATATTTATTAAGACTGCGAACGTTGATTCAAAAAGGAATAAGTGTTGCGTGTATAGTCACAGGGAACGCTCCGCGGGGACAGTTGCGGTTGCACAAAAAATCTTCGCTGTGCGCGAGGGAGCATGAACAGTGCAAGATACGCAATTGCACGGCGGCTGGGCCTCGTGGTTGAGGTCGGGTGGAGGCGTTTGCTGTATCGTATGGTTTATGGTGGTCCTTGTTGGTAACCATCTGGGAGATTGGGACGTGGTAACTTTGATAGGGTTGAAATCAGCGGCTATTCCTTCTATTTCGGGGGTACGGTGAAGTTACGTATAGGGATAGAGAGTTCAAGAATTAACTGTGTGGGGTAGGCATGTTTGTTGGTAGCTGTTATAGTAAGTATTAACCTTCGAGTGATGCCTCCTAATAAGCAGTCGCATGTCATGGAGGAGTCCTGGCCCACTGAAGAGGAGGAGCGACAGTCGTCGTCCTCGTCAGTGAGTTCTAATGGTAAGAAGCGTTGTTAGGAGTGCGCTGTGGTTGGCAGTGTTGGAATATATGTTCAGGAGTTTCCTCACTGGGGTTTCGCCTGTTTTACGTGAAGTGGAGTAATACTCTGTGAAAAACACGATATTCGGGAAATGCAGTAGTCGTGAAATATATTTTTCACTGGTGTTTTTCATATCACTAGGGTGAAACTCCACTGATTACGATTTCGGATAAAGTGTAGAGTAGCCAACGGAAATTTCTCAAAGTTTTCGCAAAATTTTCATGTCGGCTGCACATATGTATTGATATTTTCGAGCTACGTGGATATAATCGTGCGTGAAAATCTCACATTTTTTCCCACAAATTCTTATTACGTACTCTTATACTTCCAGCATGTGTCAATCTTTGAGTTCCGAAGAACTCTGCCTGTCTGTTTAGTATTTACGCAAGATGAAGAGAATTCGGTACAGGCTAACGAGGTCCCGATGGAGTGTCCATCGTGGAGAACAAGTACGTGTGGGGGGAACTACTGTAGCTGACGGTGTGGGAAAATATGCACATAGCCAACTACATGGGTGGAAATTTCGAGGTAAATTCTCATTGGTTTTCGTAAACATCTTCTACCCGAATTGGTATGTAAACTTCTATTATTACTGAGGAATCAGCGGAGGAAAGCGAACATAAGTTCTAACACTGGTATCCAGTGTGGGAAAGTATGCACATGGTCAACTACATGTGTGGCCGTCGGTATGAAATTTTTGAGGAAATTTTGGGAAACTCTCATTGGTTCTCGTACATTTCTACCCCACTTCGTATATAAACTTCTATAATAAGTGAGGGAAATTCCGAGCTCAGTTGAGGAAAGCGAAGATAAATTCTAACACTGGTATCTGATCGCACCAGAGAGGCTATTCAGATTCGAAGCGGCACTCAGCCGGCGGAGAAGATTGTTGTGGAGCAGATGGAGTCAGCAGTAACTTGAATGCTCTACAGCGTTCTCGACCCCTTATTGCTTTCCCTCAGCTATCGCATCCCAGGCTGTGAGAATTCAGGAGCTCGAACGGCGTGAGTTCGCATCAGCCACGTCATAGAGGAGCCTGTTGTCGCTTGTAGGTATCCGTGAGCTGGAGTCCAGGGCGCGACAATGTGAGAGGATGGTTCTGAGATGGACTGCTTCAGCTTGCTTTTCTATTTTCAGTTCCGTCGGGGGAGATTCTAGAGAGACCATCACAGCAACGAGGTGAGCTACTGTATTAGATCATCATAAGCAGTGTTTTCTCAGTTGAGGAGGTTCCCCTCACTCCATACGGTAGAGGTCCACAAAAGCAAATAATTCCACAGTGTGAGGCTGTTCATAGCTGTACGGTTGTTGACTATGTGTTGTTGTTAGTTATGATGTTACATAAGGACGGGAGCGACTTGACTGGGATGATGGGTGAGTGACCCCTTCCCAACTGCGGGGTTGTTGTTGTCGCCGTTGTAGGTTACAAGAATTGCGACGCTCAAAAAAGGAGCATCTGGTCAGCGCAAACTCATGCGTCCGCGGACAGAGGGGCTTGCCTCGTCGAGTCGTATCGGGGTGGCATTAGTATTGATGATGGAGCTGAGCAAGGGGGCACACCTGCGTCCCTGCCGACCGTACCGTACCCCACGCAACTTACCGAGGATAGCTACTCTCAGCTGATGAGTAGGTCTACAATAGGCGGCTTCCTCGTAGGGGTTTTGCTCAGGCCCGGAGCCAACGTTGTTACCGGAGTTTGATGAGTCGAATCTATTTGACCACCACGGTGATTGGGGAAGTTATAATGACGGTCAAGAATGTACTCGGTCGGATTTGGTGTTGGATGACCCCCCTATGAGCGTCCAGGATGAGCTCTGTAGAGGTGACAAAAACTGTTGTTGGTCCTAGCTGGTCGAGGAGGGATATTTCAGATTTGGAGAGTGAAGGTCGCAAGAGGAAGGCGGCAAGCATAGAAGGGACGGATGATGGTGGGATGGTTTTGGGCTAGATCCGTATCTTTAGTAGGGGACCTCGGATATCTTTCGGAGTCCTATATCGCACTGAATAGCCGTCCTTAAAAATCTATAGTTTCCTCTGTTACTATCATAGGAACATCGCGGAATTGGTTTTCTAGTTGAGGCACTTTCTATCTGTACATTGCATATTCGCCATTTTTTTCGCATTTTTTCAAGCTGTATATAGACCGACCCCGCAAAGCTGAATCTATCTCGATCTCTGTAGTGATGTGATATATTTTAAAAACTAAATATAATGTTAATCTAATGTATTGAATTGCTAAATATATGATGAAAATGTGGTAGCTTTAATATATGAGATTAACAATAACGTTAATATAGAACAATATTGATATTATAATCCTTGAGCTGTATCCGACCCCACAAAACTCAACCGGGTCATTAAATGATAACCGCGTGTCTCTGAGGGCTGTTGTACCATTGTGGGCACGTAGATGAGGCTGTAGAGGATAATGTATTTAGGTCAAGTTGAGCCCACGTACTCATCGGAGTGGTTGGCCAACGATGGAGGTAGGCTGAGGTCTTATTGTTTGGAACACTGTGTGTGTTGCTCTGTAAGGCTCCAGCGTAGACCAGCGCGATGGGAAGAGGCGAGTTACGACGACGACCTCTACAGCTCTAGCGTTGAGGCCGTCGCAGACGGGTGAGTACTTGTTTTATGGTAGTGTACTATTACACTTGATACTTTACTATTACATGAGGTCAGTATTGAGCATTGCTGAGATGCACTAGTACCTTGATTATTGGTAAGCATATCGTTGCTGCAGCAAAGACGGGATTAGCCCTCATAGACCTGCCTGTAGTTCTTGTGCGATAAAAGGGTTCAGAGTGAATGTCCCTGTCAATTAGCATGTGTGATCGTTCCCCGAGGAGAATCTTCGCTGTGCGGAAGATCTTTGTTATGTTCAGGCTGCGTGGGTACTCCTGTATCTGAAGTGTCGCAGAAGGCTCCATCAAGACGCAAACCGACGGCGGTGCATCGCGGAGGTAGGTGGGGTTATATTTTGATGTTAGTTGACGTGGTGTGTCGGGATCTCAGGCCCGGGAAGGAATATATCGGCTGAGTCTGTCGTTTCGTTGCAAGAAACGAAGCAGAAAAAGAAGATGGATGATGGGCCTGTCAGGAAGGCTCCTGGTGGTGAGTGGGTTCTCTCCTATGGGTTGGAACAGTTATATGTTATCAGTTATATATTAGTAATAACTATATAAGTCTATATAAGTTCATATAAGTTAACTATATACAGTTCTATAACTGTAATATATTAGTATAACATGTATAACTGTATAATAACTGTTTAGTATTAGTATATATCAGTATATCAGTTATATATATAGTTATATAAAGTCTGAGTTAGTTTTTAGTCTACATAAACCCATGAGTTACTATTACCGTGGATGGTGGTTTATAAGGGATGTTTACGGCCCTAGCCTAGTGAAATGCATATGAGGAGTTATACGTAACCTGTTTCGATACAGTATGAAGTATTAGATAGTTTTATAGTAGCTGCTGTGGTTGGCTGCAGCATTTCCTGGTCAATTAAATACCTTGCCTGAATTTTCGATATTTTAACTATTTTTTCAAAGTTTTTTTTACCGACTGTTTCTGATGAATTACTCGAAGTTTCTATTGAATAGCTGACCATATCAAATACGTACTGACGTCCATCAACGCAGTTAGCCTTGGCGACACGACACAAACGGGTACCCGATCCAATCCTCTCCATCTCAACGCAAGCCATAATTCACAAGAAACATGCAGAATCGAGCATATCCCATAGCTATGACATGCATAGCCTCTGGAGGGTAACTGCCCGTACCAGAAATTTCCCCTGAGAGAGGCAACGGACTGTTTGTAAAGCAATCATGATCATTGCATGATCCATAGAGTTTGGTGACACCAGTGGGGACAGCACCATCCAGCATCTCTATGAGAGATCATCAGTCTCTTGTATTCTCATTAACGTTGATGAGAGAAGTCGATACATTTTGAATATGATCAGCTACTCTACTGAAACTTTGGGTAAACCACCGAAACCGTCGGTAAAGTAATGAAAAAAATTTTTCCAATTTTTTTGGACAAAACATTGAATTGATGTGAAAGTACTGTAGTTGACACTTAAAATTGCACCAATTGTGGGAAGTGTGAAGCAACGCTGCTCAGGGACTCAGAAGGCATCTCAAGAGAGCTCACAGATCAAGGACGTATCACGTGCTTGGTCGAGGCACCAATCACGAAGTTATCTCTTCACTTGGTCACATTCTGAGGATATCGATAAGGCTAAGCCTTGCGATATGGGGAAGGAGGAGCTCAGCGGTATAATACTCACTATCAATAGAGGCAAAAGTCTATTATACTACTCCATTTTTCACGAGCGACATAAGGATGGCAACATGCACGCCCACTTCCTCATGAAGTATGCAACTCCGACCCGGTGGAAACAACTGGCCGATACTCTCCGCAACGTCTATCGCATTTTCGCATCGGTCAGCTGTGCTGTGCCGAAGCCAGGGTTCAAAATCTGCATGTACCCAGTGCTCTTCAGCTACTGCTTCCGAACCAATCCTGATAAGCCTCTGATAGACCTCGATTTGAAACCATATCTTTCCGAGAGGCACCCCGATCCTACCGCGCTGATAGTCCCTCGAACGCGGCAGGAGAAGGCGAAACGAGTTAGAGCGATGGATAGATGTGACTTCCAGGAGTTCGTGGTGAAGAATAATATAAAAACAGAGAATGAGGTTTTGGAGTACGCCTGCAGGGACAAAGCGCTCAATATGCTTGCAATGAATTTGAAGACGGACATCCAGGCCCTCATTGATCGGTCGTGGCAGATCGCGGGAGCTGCGCGGCGACGCGTGGAGGAGAGCAAGAGCCCTATGGAAAAGGTCAAGGCTTGCCTCGGAGCCGAATGTTCGTGTGCTAGTCCTGGCCTGTGGTTTGAGAAAGTATCAGAAGTTGTGGTACGGAATCTCCGACAAGAGGGAGCGGAGAGGCTACGGGAGGACATAATAAGGAACCTTGAGGAAGGACGGTCGAAGCAAACGAATGTGGTGATCTATGGTGTGGCCTCCAGCGGCAAAACGGCGATCCTACAGCCGTTAACACGAATACTAAAGTGTGCAACGACACCTGATTCGGGCAAGTTCTCTCTCGAAGATCTGCTGGAATGTGAGTGCATCTTCTGGAACGACTTCCGTTTGAAAAGCCTGGGTGAGGCTTGCGATATGGGGAAGCTGCTGAACCTCCTGGAAGGCGGCGGCATCAAGATTAGCCGACCTCGAAATCACAAGCAGAATGACTCTTTTTTCACGAAGCTGGTACCTATTTTTATAACGTGCAATGCTCTCCCTAGCCCTCGGGAGGAGCAAGATAGAGAGCCTTTGATTGAGAGGCTTCAGCGACGTCATTTCTTTCCGTATATGATCGATCATAAGGAGCAGGTGAGACGGATCGATCCTTGCACCCGATGTTTTGCTGAATGGCTTTTCACTGCCACCTTAGCTCAGACTCGGCATGAATGATGATGATGTTTTAGATACTTTTCCTCCTCCTGTTTGGTTGTTATCAATTCGTGTCGTCGCTGCTCTTGTCCACTCAGATTTCCAGCGCTGTAACGGTTGAAGGTTGACTACTAGATAATCCCAAGCAACATGTGCATGAATATAGAGTGCTTTCAACTGTTCTTGCTGTGGTGTTAGTCAATTGGGAATCTGAGCCAGTATCGGATTGCTTGTTCTCTTCCCTCGGCTAAGCTCAGGAGTTTTACCGTTTACTATATGAATATAAATATGTATACTGGAATTTCACCCGTTTAACGTGAAATGGCGCAGAGCGCGATATTCGCGGTGATATGCAGTAGTCGTGAAATATATTCTTGCTAGTGTTTTCACATCACCCGTGATGATCACGGGTGAAACTCCATTGTTTAGAGGTTCACTGTAAATAGACAGGCCCTGATTGTGCCTGCGGCAGAGTGGAACGAGTACGTCCTTCATCGCTGGTTGTGAGTTTTCAGTACTGCTATCAGTCTAAGGCTCAGTCGGTCTGATGTTGATATCATCAATATGATTAGAACGTTGATTACCTTGATAGTCCCCAAGTAATGTCGAATCCATCACACACTTCCGCCTCCAACCATGGCCAACCTCTTGTTGATGATGGTGAGTGCACTCTGGGAAACAACCCCTCGTTCTTCTTTTCACTACTACTACTACTACAGTTCTAGTATCGGCATGTCTTCTGATTGCTTCTTTCTATATTGTGGGCTCCGATTCGGAGTTCATTACCTCTTCCTACTACTGCTGATATTCTTTCCGCTTCATGCTTCGTATCGCATCGATTTTGTGTGCTGTACGGCTATGAGGTTCTCCCCCTTGGCTGTAGTTACCATGCAGTACTACTCCAGCCTGCCGGAGGGAACTCTTCCGATTGTCGATGATGATGAGACCATCCCGTACCCTGCGTGTTCGGCGTCGACTGTGGCCGAGAGTGAGCCTAATAGATCATAACAACTTCCAATGGCTGCTTTCCTTTCAGTGGGAAGGGACGGCCCTTCATCGATGGTTGCTCGCCAAAACCTCGAGATCATGGCTCTCAAGGAACGTGAGCTGTTCAGTTGATAGTGTGGTCGAGTGACTCTCCTATTGGCAGGCATACGCGTTTTGGAGGAGGAGAAAAGGTGGTTGGAGTGGCGTGAGGGAAACCATTAAAGAAATAGTTGATAATATCTTCTTCATGTTTCAGGTCTCCATAAAACTTGCATCAAGTGCCGTGAATGCCCGTGCCGCAGACAGGAGGAAGTGAAAAGACAGGCTCTCGATCTATGTAAGTCTGTAGATAATCGCGAATGACATTAATAGAAACGTTAAGTCTGGGGGTTGATGATGGGTCGTGGTGAATGCGAACTTGAAACGAATGACTTGAACTTCAACAAACTCGTTGCCAGCAGTAATCAACTACCGTGTCGAGAAGTGGTACAGTACGCGCAATCCAAAGACCCATTTCGTGTGGCAGCCTCAACTTCCTAACTACTGCTCATATAAACCTGAAATTTCGTATAGGAACTCTCTGAATATGGTTACATTGTTTAAATATTCCACGGACTTGATATTCAAAAAAAACACTTTTCGGATCCCCGTTGTGCACCTTCCAATTCTAAAAGAGAACAAGATAACAAATAAAATCCGTGGTATATCTAAACAATATGACTATTTTCAGAGTTCCTATACAAAATTTCAGGTTGATATGAGCAGTAGTTCTTGGGGTGGTCACACGAAATTGGATCCTTAGATTGCGCGCACTGCATACTCTTGAAAGCAAACGTGGTTTGGCATCGCCTAACACGCCCGAAGAAGGTTTCCTTAGCCGATAGGCTCCACGTACAACCCTGGTTCGATACCCACACCTGTGTTTTTTCACATAACTTCGGTTGTAGATGGCGTGGTATGAGATACGACACTTATAAATTATATACTGAAGCAACGTAGGAGGATATACAACTACATGTGTCGATGACAATATGGAAAATTTGATGAAATTTCGGGAGACTGCTTTTGATTTCCGAATACTCCTACCCAAATTTGTATATATATTCCTATAGTTAGTGAGAAAACTCCTGAGCTCAGCTGAAGAGAACGAGCATATATTAATAGTAGGTGTAATCTCAGGTGAACTCCAGAAGGATGAGGAGCTCGTCATAATGGATGTGGGGGAGGAGGGTCTGGTCCGTCACCAGTCTCGAAGCTTCCTCTTCTCCTGGCCACTCACGACTGAAGATGATGATGACGAGAAGGCTAAGAGCCGTGCCGCTTCCATGGTTGTTGAAATCAACAAGGGGAAGACTCTGCACTACTTCTCAATCTTCGTTGGCCACCCCGACCAGCATCCATCATCGGGTCGGCGGCTCATCCACTGCTTGTTGAAGTACGGTACGCCCACTCGGTGGAAGCAGCTCTCTGATACACTCCGCGACGGGTACCAGATCGTTGCGTCGATTCGCTGCGCTCTTCCCAAGACCGGCTTCAAGGCCTGTATGTACCCCGCCCTCTACGTGCACTGCCTCCACTCCATCGACTCCAAGCCCTACCTTTCCTCTGCTCATCCCTCCCCGAGGAGCTTCATCCGATCAGGGAAGGGGCCGGGCGCCAAGACTAGAACTGTCCGTGCTCCGGAGGATGGCGATGTTGGGGAGGGTGCGGTATGTTGCAATGCAGTGGAGGGATATGTTGGTAAGGGTGGAACGAAGGCCGTGAGCTTCGGCGAAGGCATGCAATGCTCGAGTGGAAAGCCGAGAAGTGGGGTGGAAGGTGAGGACAGGATGGATAAGGTCGAAGGCTGCCTCGAGGAAGAATGCAGTTGTGAAAGTCCTAGTCTGTGGTTGAGGAGAATATCGCGTTTGGTGATGCACAACTTGGGGGAAGAGGGAGCTCAACAGCTGAGAGAGGACATAATAGAGAATATCGAGGAGGGACGGTCGAGTAAGACGAACGTGGTGATTTATGGTGTGCCCTTCAGTGGCAAGGCTGCTATACTGCGACCCCTGGCTCAAATTCTGAAGTGCGCTAAGGTTTCCAAGAAGGGCAAGCTCTCACTGAAGGGGCTATCCGACTGCGAGTGCATCTTGTTCAATCAATTCTCTTTGGAGCATCTGGGCGACGGTTTGGACTTGGAGACGCTCCTCAGCCTCCTTGAAGGCCGCCCTGTTGAGGTGAATAATACCACCACTTTCGACGAGTTGGTACCAATATTTATCACTTGTAATTCGCTCCCTGAGCCACAAGGAGAACGACATAGGAACGCCCTCCGTGAAAGGCTAGGACGATGTCATTACTTCCCACACAAGTTGGAGAGGGATGAGAGGGAAAAACCCATCAAACCCTGCTGCCGTTGCTTCGCTGATTGGCTTCTCACCGAACGATACCGTAACACAGACAAAGCATGATTAATGTTGTTTCTTGTCCCCGACTATTGAGTGCCTTAATGTGATCCCATAACGCTGCACACGATCGACATACTCCCCGAACTCGTTCCCGTTGTGGTTCACTGATAGGAATGGCCCCTGCGGCTCCTCCATGTTGTCATGACTCTATGTGATGGATTTCTTCCATGCATGGAAATGTTGAGTGCGCTTCCGTCGGCCTTTGCATCTGTTGTGTTCGTTAGTGAAAGTGGATGGGCTCGATAGTAAAGTATCGTACTGCTTGTCTCGTAAGCTCGCTGATTGACTTGTCTTTGCGAAAAAGCAAAAATCTGTGTGAGTACTACTCACTGAGTAGTAATCCGCGACCATCAGCGGCAGTCGAGGCCTCCGTCGAGTTAGTTCGAACAGTTTTGAAATATGCCTAACGCGTCACCCAAGCTTCCTCACAGAGCCCAGCGGACATTTACGAATGATGGTAAGCGGGACGCCTCAGTCGATATTAACCATAGCCTTAATGGAGCACTTCGAGATGAGCCTCCTTTCAGTAGGTCGCCTTCCTCGTTATGTGTTCTGTAGTTTAGCTCCAGCACGTGTGTGACTTTGAGAGTGTCCTAAGGCGAACACAACTCATCGACTTGAAAAGAAACTGCACAGTAGAGTAGTTCGACGTGCTAAGCATCGGTTGACAGGCAGATTATAGCGCTATAGAATTTCGTCTAAGGTCCGAGCCTGCCAGCGATCGAGTCCAATGAGGATACTATCCAGTACCCTCCATGGGCCGACTGTGATCCGGAAAGTAGCTACAATGAACTGCCACCGCCTTTTGAGTTTTGTCATTCAGCCATCCATTCCTTATGTCAAGAGAACATGTCCCTCAGACGACGTGAGTTTTCAGCTGGAGATCTGCCGATTCTCGTCCTGATCAGGTATTGAAACGTTGGAGCAGGAGAAGGAGTGGTTGGAACGAAGTAAGCCCCGCCTTTGGCCGGGTGCCGTTCATCATATCGTCTGGGACTGTGTCAGCTCTAGCCACCAAGAGTGCATGTAAGAAGTGTTCGAGGTGTAACTGCACGAAGATTGGGGTCGTTCCTGTTGTGACAGACGATGAGGAGGAGAATTCTGAAGGTGAGCTTTCTTATTAAACATTCTAGGGTGAATGGAATCACGTCGCTGGCTTGAGAACTCGCCGTTTTAGCGTCTCTACTCGAACTTCTGTAAAGGTTATGTCCTAAGCCTTTGCGGACAGTAAATCTTAGAGTCGATTCAGAAGCATAGCGATTCAGGTGAGATTGTTGATGTCGAGCTCAAGTGTGTGAACGACGAGAACCTGAGGACGCAGGCTCGAACATACTTATGGACTTGGCCGGAGAGCAACACACCGAGCCGCAGGCAGCCCTATGAGGTAGATGATGAGGAAGTGAGAGCTATCTTTGAGGCCGCTACCTCGGACAAAGGGCTGCTCTACTACTCGGTGTTCTTCGAATGTCGTGGTCTCGAGGACGACAATCGGCCTAAGGCGATTCACTTCATTACGAAGTACAAGCTCCCGAGGAGATGGAAACAAGTGGCCGATCGTTTGAGTCAAGACTGGAACATTGACGCCTTTGCACGCGTGCCAGCAATGACTATCAAGCGTGATACGTATCAAATCATGTTCGTCCACTGCTACCGGGCATACGGGCCATCCAAGGAAGGCGGACTCAAGCCTCTGTTCTCTCCTCGCCACCCGCCTCTCGCCGACATTCTCCCACACAGTCTACTCCCTCGAGTGGAGGAGACATGGCCTCTGCCTGAGGCATGTATAAGTGAGATTGCTCATGACGACGACACCGAGCTGTGACCGTTTCTGTTATTCCATCGGTTGTGTCCATCAATCACCCTCATCTACTAGATTGCATCGTACTTTACTGAATGACCGACCACTCGCAGAGAGCATTGATTTCTGGTTTCGGGTTAGGGTATGATTTTTTGGTGAGCACGACGTCTTCGCGGCTTGCGATAATAGGGATAGGCAGCCCATCATAGGCCTTAAAGGCCTGGCCTTTAAATTTCGAACTGAGCCGAAATAACTCCAGTCTAACTCCCTGTCAAATCAATGCATCTGGCAGGAATGAGATCTTCGTAGCCAAGAAATTAGAGGCCTCAGCCTAGTCATTTATGGTTCACCCTGACAGCTGTACCATGGGTGGTGGACAATCGTGTTTCGATTGAATGTGTGGTGATCCCCCTACGAGAAAGGCATTGTATGTTGTTGGACGGTTTGGTTTGCTCTATTTCGCTGTGGCGCCCTCACCATTGCTCATCTTTTAGCTGCTGAAGTCGCGGAGGACGGAGCGTTATATTAGTTTACCGCTACTGATGGTGCGGCGCTATAGACACTTGTTGTGATCGAAGACCGTCGGATGCCCATTCAGTTGATCCTTGCATGAGCATTGCCATAAATTGGCCTATCGGACCCTTCACTCTCCCACCAGAGCTGCTGGCGCTCGAAGCTACTGATGAGCACATTTTCTCTCGCTACGATGACGGATCGAGCGAGCGACGTATTTTCTGCAATGTGAGAAGTCTCGTCTGGCATTCCTATTCACTAGTTGTCGCTTGTACAGGTGCCACTGCTTGAGAATGAGTTGGACCAGCTGGAGGAGCTAACTGAGCACCTCTGCCGTCTAGGTATCGCATTGAGGAGGCGGATGGAGTCCAAGAGGCTGAGGTCCGGCAAACCGCATGGTTACTTCCCATGAAGATGCGAAATTATCGGTCGTTCAGATACCTGCACGCTGCAGCTGGAAGTGTGAGGAAAGTGGCAAACATGATGATGGAAACAGAAAGCTGGAGTGAGATCATTCTGTGCTATTGTACACATAGCCGTATCGAGAGCGCTTCTTCTCCATCTGCTCAGGAAAGTCGTTCTTCAGCAAGCCGATCGATGACAGAGAGATCTTCAATGACCTCAATTTGGCAAGTCCTTTTGTTCGAGCGACACGGCCTCAGTCATCCAGTATGAGTCTATCAGGGTTTTGTCTACATTTCGGGACGAGACAAGCTCTTGCGGCCGTGCCTTGTGGTACGAGTGACGGAGATGCTGAGACATGCTGTGGACCAGAATACTTCCCTACGGTGTGTGTGCTTCCTCATGGAGTTCATCATACGGTCAGCCTAGGCGACGTTTGAACTACCGTGGCTCTTCTCCGGAAGATAGGTATATGCTTCTCCCGGGGAAGTGTGAAAGTACCGTCACCCTCTTGGACTTGGGAAATATTGGCCTCATGCAGTTCTTGCCGGCGGTGTCGCGGACGCGAGCCATATTCGGGGTAAGACTCACATTCTGGTTCTATGCAAGTACGACCGTATACCAGGGGTCGGGTTGACTGAATGACTTTATGAAGGACTCATCGTTGAATTACACGCTCATCGGTTCGGAAACAAGCCGACGACGGCATTGATCTTCGAATTGATACGCTTCATTCAGTGTGGAGGGAGCAGACTGTGAGAAAGTTTTTTCAGGTCTTAGCTGAGCACTATGTGGGACGGTCTGCTCTTACGTTTGTGACGAGCGCACCGTCTGCCCTCGAGAAGTTGATCAGCGGCCTAGTGCCCGAAGAAAAGCGACGGAAAATCGTCTATGTGAAGGACGTCGATGACATTGCTAAGTAACGGTCGAACTAACTTCATGGTTACTGAGATTGGTCTGTAGGCACTTCCACGACGATCAGCTCGAGGTGCGGTATGGAGGGCGCAAAATGACTATCACGAGCTTCTATCCCATAAACCACCTGAGCTCGAGGTCAGGGCTGCCCACCGCGAGTGCTCTCCTCGACACATGCACATTCCGAAAGTCCTTCTGGTTCTCAGCTATACCTTCGCTGGAGAGAGAGAACGCGAGTTGTTGGCCTCTTGTCATAGGTGGGTCTGACCCACTGGGTCACCTCCCTGCATGCTGAGCCTTGTTCTTCATAGGTGTTTGGGGCTTCCGACTATACGTGGAAACCTCTGGGAGCGAGGGGCGCCACATGCACCATTACGATACGCCGCTGAGGCTCCGCAATACTTCATTGCCCTAGGCCTGCCGCCACCTGAGAGCGTGACCCGCCTCATGCAAATCTCAACGCATCTTTTTCTATCCACAGACGATGTTCACAAGTGAAGATCAAGCGGTCGAGGAACGGCCCGGAACCCCTGGGGGTGTTTGCAGAATTCTGCTAGGGGTTGCCGTGAGCTTCAGTAAGCGGTCAAGAGACAGTATTCGTTGCATTATTAGAATCTACCGAGCCCTGTACCGGAAGGCACTATGCAAGATATGATGGCGGATGACTACGACTTGGTGAGCCTAAGCCCTCTTCCGTGCTCCTATCATCTACTAGGTGGTGACACATGCATACGGTGATTCAGGGAGTGGTGGAAGGTGCGGTTTGTGCCCGATTGGAACCTGCTCATTTTGTCTTGTCTAGTTCTCCCTTTGGGAAGGAGAAGCGTTCACGGATAGCGAGCACAGGTTCTGAGGGGACACAAGCCACGAAGTAAGAAGAATGCTCCAGTGCGATGTAACCTTGTAGCTTTCGAAGCTCATCGGCGATGGTCTCAAGGGAGCTTCGAGGAATAGTAAAGAGACGGGATGAAGGTATCACTAGATGATGAGTAGGTTCACGTGATGCGTCTATTTAGGATCTGCTCGAATACTGGGACCTCGGTTGACGCCCGAAAGACCAGTGAGTGGGGCAACGAGATGGATGTGTATTTCTCCTTTCCCAACCGATCCATCGAATGCACAACCTCATCTACTCTCTAGAGAGCCCCTAGTTAGAGACTATTGGGCGTCGGCATTGCGTACATATCGACTTGCGCACGCGTGCAAACCATTATCTCTGGTGCAGGCGTGCAAAAAATGATTCCGATACTTCGTGTGTTTATCTAGTAACCACATAGCCGTTCGCTGCCTCCCAGAGAATCCCGCTCGGACTACCGTGTCCAACGTCGAGCTCCGACACCGCAGTTAGACGAGGCCAGCCACTCAGTGATGGGGCCGTGCCCTCTCCGGCTCATGGGAATCCGATTCCTCGTTCGACCTCGGCTTGGGCATCGTCATGGTTATGCCGTTTTTGCATACCACAGGGCGAATTCGAATGAGAGAAAGAATGGGCCTCGTCGACGTTCATTGAGACCTCGAGGTGTTTTAGAAAACATGCTGTAGAGTGGTAACGCATGATCGACCTGATGCCTGACCACTTGCCTCTGACATGTATCGTTTCACTGACGCGTACACTATCACTTGTTTGATGTTGGGCTTATGAGTAATACTGGATCATGGAGTCTATAGGTTAGTTAATTTCACGATGAAGTGAAGGGGCGTTTCGATAGATTGTTTTTGATGAATCGAAAGCTCTTGATTGCACTTCCTCCAGCCGTGCGCATCAGCCATCGCGGAATTGCTCACGCTGTTGAGCGATTGGCTTTACTGGAAAAGGGCGTATCAGAAGCTGACGATGGCCAAGTGTTACTCAGCAGAACAAGAGATCTGATGAGGCTTTTGAAACGAGATAGTCAGCACCTTCAAAGTGAGGGAATTCTGTCACCCCGGGGGGCCATGGATCTCCTCACCAAGGTAGTTTCTGAGAGAGTAGACCAGTTAGAACCAAGTGAATGCTGCGAGCTGCTGTACTTCCTCGCGGAGGGACGGCGTTGGACGGTATGCGACAAGGGGACTATTGATGGTCTTTTGAAAAGGGCCTTAGCGAGAGAACGTATATCCCCGAGAGACTTGTCGATTGCACTTCATGTGAGTACAGTCCTTGAGCTCGAGGGCGACAAACGGACGAGGAAGGCGATCACAGCAGCCATTACCAAGCTGGACTTCACCGAATCTACGTTCAAGGACATCGCCCGATTAGCTGTGGTCCTGGGTGCATGTACAACGCGGAATTTCATATCAGAGAGCCTCATTGAGCACTTGTCGGAGGCCTTATCGGCCTACTACCCCAAGCAGGATCTTACTGCTGAGTTGCTGATACTGGCGAGCAGCGCTCTGGTCAGTCTGTGCCGTGCCCTTCCTCGGGAAGCATCTGTGAAAGGCCGAGGCGAGTTACTGGACAAGCTACTCGCGCATCAGAGTGATTGGAGCTCGATCGCAGTGTGTGACGTTGTATATAGTGCCTACGTACTTGGGAGGCCCCTACAGGACGTGGCTCTTATAGAGAAGATGCTCGACACCTTTGACCCGGCACAGGTGAGTGAGCGACTTCTGACAATTCATGGGGATCGCCCCGGATACCAAAATGGGGTTGACAATTGCCGATTTTGAAATAGCATTATTTACGTTACCGGAGTGCTCGGATGATTCCTTATCCCTGGTGTTCTCGTAGGTCAACTCATCTGACCGTCTGTGCCGGCTTCTGGCTTCTATACCCGCGACTGAGTTACCCTTCGTCGCACAGTGCTCGTTACCGTATATAAACATCAGTCACCTGTCGAGGAGCAATGCATTGAAGGTTGCCTATGGCCTATCAGCGCATGCGAGCGCCTTCACTGAGACCATAAAGGACGTGTGCGGCCGACTCGTTGACCTTGCCAATACCATGAACCATCGCCACGCTTGGGAGTGCATGGCTCTGTGCAAACGTATCCAACATGATGCCCTGCTTGAAGCAGCTTGTCGAGTATTGCTAGCCGGAAAGAAGGCATTCAAAGCAGCCGAGAGGGGCTTGTGTGATGAGGTGAAGTCCCCTCCCTTTCCTCCCTTGCGATGTTGATTGTCGTAGGTTTACAACGAGGTCAAGACGAGGCTCGGCGAAGTTCCTGCAGTCCTCGAAGACTTACATGAGAGGGTTCATGATGTTGCTGGAGTAGATGCTAAGATTGATTCGAAACAGACCCAGCCAGGTAACTTAGCGCGTTTTGGTCGTATAGGATCTTGTCTTGTCTGTTGATGTGGTTGGCCTAAGGGGGATGATGAGCGTTGTGATGTATAAGTCTTTGTGAATTGAGTCGGATATGGCTGGGTGTGCAAATCCTGGTGCCGGGAATCGAACCTTGGTCACCTGTGTGAGAATTTCGAGCCTTAACTAGTTAACCAGCTATTGCAATGCCTAGGTGAGCCAGTAGAACCCTAGTTCAACTCCTTAGGCCGTCAATTCAGTAGTCAGGCGATAGAGGATGATGATGACGATGATGAGACTTCCCTGTTTCATGATCGTGAACTGAAGTGCCTACGTGCATCGGCCAGGCGGAATGAAGTTGCCGGAGGGGACGCCTCATCAGGAGAGACAGGCAATATCTACGAGAGGTAAGTAACATGGATGATGCCGGATACTCACGCCTCGAAACTGATCCGCTGACATGCAATTTTGAGGCACTCGTCCATCTCTTGTTGAGTGGCGATGAAATGGCTGTGAATATGATGGCTCAAGACACCGCAGTAGAAAATGGATCGGGTTTGTTCTGCAGTTTCTGCCGATCGAAGCTTCTAACGATGCTCGAGAAGATGGAGGCCGGGCACGACCCAGTAGAAGAAGCGCATGCTTTGCTGAAGCGTCATCGAGATGGCAGGAAGGAGGCGCGGAGGAACGCGGGTCGGCTGTGTCTGGTTGAGGTTGATATGAGTTATTGGCGTTCAGATGAAGGACCGCAAGTAACGGGAAAGTCTCGGAAAAAACGGAAGCCAAGAAATGAGCGAGAAAAACGAAGACTCGCGATGTTCAAGATGGGAAATTACCAGCCTTTTATTTTTGCTAAGCAACAGGCAAGAAAGAATCGTCTGTGGCCTTAGTGGAATGTACAAATACAATCAGTCGCAGCAACCAATGGAATGGATTTGCAAATATTTACTGATTTCCGATTTGCTTGGCATAGTGAATCCTTCATCATGTAGTTGGAAGCCCTCCGAGAGCGAGAGATGAGCATCGCCAAAGAATGTTGGGCGCTGAGGAATCCTCATATGCGGAGGAAGCGCAGAGCTGCAGAGATACGGAAGAACGAAGAAGATCATATGCGAAGGATGTTCACTGTTTCATGAGTGTGTTTCTTGTATTCGATTGGCTACTTGAGTTCATGTGAAGCATCTCCGTCATCACAAACCCAACCTTGGACGAATCAACAGCATCGCGAACGCATAAGCACTCGAATGGAAGATGCTGGTGCATCATTATCGCTGTCCCAATACCTCGTACCCTTAACTGAGCTCATGTTGGAGATAGTCTGCATCGATTAAGTATGATCAGGCTTCCTGAGACACCTGCTATTATATCCAATATAATGTTATCCAGATCGGCAACTCCCTAGCAATAACTAATTCCATCAGGGCAATCACCCACGTTAAGACCATCACTGGTTCGCCACAGTGATGTTGGTCTTGAGATGCATCTATGACCGCTTGCGTAGATAACAGGAGTGTAGAATGGATCGATAATGTCAATGTAAGAAAAGGAGATTATAACTGACGTCTTGAGGCAGGGCAACAATTAACTGATCCCATCAGGGCTAACGAATTTGTCTAGTGCCATGAAACCTCGAGTTTATTGTCTCGTTCTCCAGCCCTAGGATGTGGTAGGCAACAGCATATATATATCTAGCAAGTATCAGCTGCGGCTTGTAGCTTTTGGAACAGTGGAGGAGATCGGCGAAGTAGTTCTCGTTGAATATCCGGTTGACTGACTATAGTGACACAAACTCGAACACAATGCATGTCTGTCCCGATCAATGCCATCACACCCCATTCCCATGCAATCTTCTAAGATGCTCCG